GAAAGCTGGACAGTGAATAAGGAAGATCGTAGAAGAATTGATGCCTTTGAGTTGTGGTGTTAGAGAATACTAAAAGTGCTATGGAATGCCAAAGAATCAATAGCTCTGTTTTGGAAGAAGTGCAGCCAGAGTGCTCCTTGGAGGCCAGGATGGCTAAACTTCGTCTCTCATACTTGGACATATTGCCAGAAGGGAACAGTCTCTGGAGAAGGATGTGATGCTGGGTAAGATGGAGGGTCAGAGAAAATGAGGAAGACCCCCAACGAGATGGACCAACCAAGTGGCATCACTGATGGCATCAAGTGTGGCAGCGGTATTGAGGTTGGCCCAGGATCGGACATTGTTTCATTCTGCTGTGCATGGGGTCGCTATGAGTTGGTTCCGACTCGATGGCACCTGACAACAACAACTACTACAAAATTATTTAGAAATACCAGAAAATTTACTGGTCAGAAAGAGACTAGAGGAACCCGAGTTATGGCCCTCAGCCACCCTTCTGGTCTGGAACAGAACTCACCCTCATGACCCTATTTTCATCTATTCATAAGGAACACAACATGTTCAGCATGGAATGGTCAACCATTCAAGATCCAAAGGGTAACACCTCCCTCAGGACAAAACTGAGATGGGATGGGGCAGGTGGGTGACCTGGAAATAGGCACAGGGAAGAAGCAGGCTAGCTGTTGTTAGATAAAGGGAATTGCAATCATTGAAATGAAACAAAGTATATGATTTATTTCATGTAAAACTGATGACTTCTATATAAATCTTCACTCAATTCACAATAAAAAGGGTTTTAAAAAAAGAGATTGATTTAAGACACACCCTACACTAAAACTGCCTTTAAAAACAAAGTATTGCTATAGAATCATGAAAATCTTTCTTAAACAAAAAGTATCAAAATCTAACACTATTGTTTCTTGACATGTCCTGCATCTAAGCCTCTACACTTCTGAAAGTAGTGTGGCGCTGCCAGCTAATGCTGGACTGCAAAGTCATTTTGGACCACAAGGTCGGCAGTTCAAGCTCACCAGTGGCTTCTCAGAAACCTTATATAGGGTCGCTATAAGTTGCAACCGACTGGACGGCACTTAACAACAACTCCTACCCAATGAGCCCTGATATGGTGCTGTAGAGTAAGCCTGGATCTGGTGAACACAAGGTCAGGAATTCAAACCTGCCAGCCAGTCTCAGAAACCTTAAGCAGGATTACTGAGTTATAACCGACTCTGTGGCTCACACCACCACCAACTTCCCCAAAGAATTCTGCGCTCTTCAAACTAAACATCATAACTGCAGTTTTGGCATTCTAGAGGGATTCCGTTCATATCGCTTTTAAATGTCTTTGAATTTGGGAAACAAAAAGGCATCCGAAGTGGCAAGAGCAAGGCTTTAGGTTAGTTGGGGTAAGGTTTCCTAAACAAATTCTTATAGGAAAGTCTTTGCTACTTTCCAAGAATGAGCAGGTGCATTGTCACAATGGAAAAAATACCTTGGCACAATTTTCCTACCCTTTCCCTCACAATAAACATTTCATTTTTCTTTAAAACTTTTTTTATAAGCAGACACGATCGACATGTCCTCCAAGAAAATTATCAAGATTAACCCTCTGTATTACCAAAAAAAATTGCCACCATAACTTTTTCCAAACTGACCTTTCTGTCTTGAATGTCACTGGCCCAGAAAATCCCTAAAAGCCACTGTTTTAACTGCACAGTCATCTCTGGGCACTTTAAGATTCATCCCATAAATTGATCTCCGGTCGCTTAGATCTTGTTTAAAAGACAGATGGAAACATCAACTCTTTGAGCTAACTGAAATTTGTGAAATACTTTCGGCACCCATCAAGCTGAAAGGTGACTGAGGCCAAAATGTTCACTTAAAGTTGAAAATGCCAAACCATGTGAGATCCCAACTTCAGTAACTGTCACCAGCTTCTGGACTTCAGCCACAGTTTCTCCATTTGTCAAGTGTAAAGTCTCAACTTTGAGGCATTCCCGATATTCCTTAACATTCTAGATCCAGCTAAAAACTGTTGTTTTATGTGGGTCAGTATCCCCACAAACTTATTTTAAGGCTTCAATGATTTGGGAAGATGTTCATGTTTCTGTTGAAAATTTGCTATTAGCCCTGACCTCAAAATCATTTTTTTCCATGGCCCAATAAAGTACTCTTTCTTTGGAAGCACCCTAATACACAAGTGTATTGATAAGAAAGCTTGTCTGCAGTGATCACTGATCACAAAAACATGCTTAAATAGGTTTGTTTTGGGAATAAACCTGTGCATGCATAAACTGGAACTTGAGGAACAATACTTTTTTTTACTTACCTTTGCATTAACTTATTGGATAGATTTTATACATAAATCTTTCAATTAGTAGTGTCTTTCATTTTCTTTACAAAGTTTACTACTGTTAACAAAAGTATTCAAATTACTCAATCTTCTATAAATTAACTTTTAAAATAAAAAAACATATATAACAATATATAAATTAAAATAACAATCACAGAATGTTTCATTTAGCAAGAAAATCTTTTAACTTTTTAACACGGTGGTCTTATACAACATTTGTCCTTTTGTGATTGACTTAATTTCACTCAGAAATAATGTCCTCTGGATTCATCCACGTTGTGAGGTGTTTTGCAGCTTCATCATTGTTATTTAATACTACAGAGTATTCTATAAGGAGCTATGGGTAGCATGTTGTTGTTGTTGTTAAGTGCCTTCGAGTCGGAGCCGACCCATAGCGACCCTGTACAGGGTTTCCGAGGGTGTAAATCCTTACGGGAGTAGAAAGCCTCATCTTTCTCCCGCGGAGCGGCTGGTAGTTTCGAACCACTGACCTTAAGGTTCGCAGCCCGATTTGTAACCACTACGCTACCAGAGCTCCTTTTGTGTAGCATAGTGGTTACAAATTGGGCTGTGAACCGCAAGGTCAACAGTTCAAAACTACCAGCTGCTCCGTGGGAGAAAGATGAGGCTTTCTGCTCCTGTAAAGATTTACAGCCTCGGAAACCCTGTTCAGAGTTGCTATGAGTCGGAAGCGACTCAACAGCACTTAACAACAACATAGAGTATTCTATTGTTTGTATGTACCAAAGTTCGTTTCAGTTGATGGACATTTAGGCTGCCTTCATCTTTTTGATGCAGCTTTTAAAATGTGTGCTTTTTATGAAACAAGAATTCTTGCCTATTTGACATTATAAAAATATTTCCCTATACTTTCTTTTAAAAGTTTAAAGATTTGCATTATACATGTATCTTTAATCCATCAGCTATCTAGTATATAGAATGAAAAAGATCTAATACTATCTTTTGCAAATCTCAGCACCTTCTGAGCAGCTATTGCAATTATGGCCCAGTGACTTCTAAAGTTACCTCTGCAATATCTCAGTTTCCTAAATGTCTCTTCCTAGACTCTACATTCAGTTCTACTGAGTCACAATGTACCAGTGACACACTCGTTTAATTGCTATAACTTTAGTACGTATTAGTAAGTTCCTTCTCCTTAGGTCTTGATTTTGAAAGGTGCTTTCCCCACTCATGACCTTCTGATCTTATATAAAAATTTTAAAATGAGATCACTATTATTCAAAACCACTGGAAATTTTAGCAGTCACTGCTGAGCTGTTCTCCCATAAAACTAGAAAATATCAAAGGTTTTACGTGTAATTTGTAATATTAGTTGCTTCTCTGAAATCACACTTGATCAAAATTTTTCAAAAATAGACTATGTAAAGTGGTGACAGCAGAGACACTGGCACAGGCAGTGGCAGGGTGAGGCAGAGCAGCTTTGGGCTCTAGGTCCACAGACTAAGGCTGTGTGCCTGCAGGCAAGAGGCTAGCCTGCAGAATGTGCCCCTTGGACATTTAAATATATATGCATATTGTTTTTTAAGTATAAATCAAATAATTTTACTTTGTTCATTTGTTAAATATAAGATATAAATGGGAACCACAAGGAGGAAGCAGGATAACTGTTGTTGCAGTGAGGGGATTGTAATCATTGAGATGAAGCAAAGTGGTTAATTTGTTGAATGTAAAGCTGATGATCTTGACTGCAAAGCTTCACCCAATTCACAATAAAAAATTATTAAAAAAAAAAAAAAAAGGCCCATGTCACAAAAAGAGCCATAGAAAGTCAAGGCAAAGATGGAATCACTACTCAGGGACAGTGAATTTCTATTAAGGGTGATGGAAAAATTTAGAAGTGGACATTGGTGATGGTTACACAGCATGATGAAATGAACATTGTTAATGTCATTGAACTGTATATGTAACAAAATGTTGAGATGGCACAGAACAGAACCAGAGACAGAGTATTAACACAATGGTAAAAATGGCCATTTCACCAAGACGACAAGACAATCCTGAATATATATGAGTCTAACAACAAGGCTTCAAAATGCATGAAGCAAAATGAATGAAACTAGAGAGAAATAAGCAGAGCAACAATTATATCTGGAGACTTCTACACTCCTCTCCCAATAAAGTTAATACAGATAGAAAATACCTTGATGAAAGGATGAAGTCAGTTCTTTTCTCAACTTTTTCAAGGGAGGGTAAGTCTACAGCATCTTCTGTGTTCTGTGAGCAGGAAAGCTTCTCTTCCCCGTTGCATTCTTTGCCATTTACCTCTGGCCTTAATGATTCACATTTATCTATGAATATAAAATGAAGGTTATTCTAAAAACTGGTAGCAAAAACCAACTATTCAATATTATTTTAAAGCAGAAAGAAATTTGCATAATTGTCCTTTCCTATAAAATATGAATTTATTCAACATTCAAGTTCTTATATGCAAAGCACACATACATCTTTTTTTTAGTGTATAATGAAAATGTCATCAACATATAAATTTATTTTAAAACCCAGTCCAAAATTCCCTTTACAATCTATACGGTAATACTTTAATCTTTGCTTAAATTTTAAGCTTTAAAGTGACTTGTTTTGGTATAATCAAGAAACAAAAAGTGACCTTCATTATTATTCTTCAGAAGGATCATAACTGATAGTAAATCACATTTTTGAATATTTATCAAGGGGTAGGAAATCTTCTAAGTCTTTCTGATGCATCATCATTTAATGCTGAAAACATTTCTATCAAAAAGTATTAATTATGATCGTCATCATAGAGATCTGAAATAACCTACTCCAGGTCATACATTTAGCAAATAACATAAACTGGACTTAAATTAAGATCAAAATTAAAGGTCTATTTGTAATCATCAAATTATTCTGCTTCATATGTAATGTTTCTTATACCTAACCCAAACCAAATCAGTTATCCAGTTGATCTAACTCATATGGTTTCCAAGACTGTAAATCTTTACAGAATCAGACAGACCAATTCATCTTTTTCCCATGGAGTGACTGATGGGCTTGAGCCACAATCCTCAAGATTTAAGTCCAGTATTTATACTACAATACCACAAAGGCTCGCTAGAGTAAGCTCAAAATTTTTGATGCCTATAAATCAAACTATACTTTCTAGTCAGACTCATTTATCAAAATTCTGAAGATGAATTATGTAAAATTTGAACTCTATAGTAAGGTTATTCTGGTCTGCTGCTATTTTTTCTCCTTTCTTTGACGATCACTTTAAGCAGTCCATGAACTCTTAAGAAACTAGATCAAGGCTTCCCTAAACTCTTAGCCCTACATGTCTATCTTCTAAAGAAGTAAAACACAAAAAAACTGTTTTACAAAAAAACTGGGGAGTACTTATGCCATTAGCTCTTTGTAGAAATTAAACACCTCACTGTGAGTTCACAGAGCTACGTTATAGAAGTAAAACATGGTCTGCTTTACTAAAGGATGTAAGAAACATACATTCAACTTTATGCATGTGACTTTTAATCATTGTTAATGGAAGTACAGTGTTGTTGTTAAGTGCCATCGAGTCGGTTGTGACTTACACAATCCTGTATAGGGTTTCCAAGGAGTGGCTGCTGAGTTTGAATCAATCTTTTGGTCCAGTGCTTATGGTCCAGCGCCACACCAGGTCTCCAATGGAAGTACATGAGAAGCACCAATTCTTATACGCAAATTTTAGAGAAAAACCTCCCTACTTGACATAAATTATTTTCTTCTAATGAACTTTTTTTCCTGGTGTGGCACTGTGGGTTAATGCACTAGACTGTAAAGTCGGTTTGAACTTCAAGGTTCAAGCTCACCAGCCACTTCTTGGAAACCCCATACAGGGTTGCTATGAGTCAGAACCAACTCAAAGGCACTTAACAACAACAGCAAAACAACACAGTACCATGAACACAGACCAATAAATAAACATCAACTGCTACTATGGACTCCTAATGTGGTACTGTTGGATCGGCACTGGACTGTGAACTACAGGGTTGACAGTTCAAATCCACCAGCTCCTCCTTGGAAACTCTATGCAGGGTTACTATACGTCAGAACTGACTCTATAGCACCTGACAACAACAACAATTGCTACTATACAGAGAAAGTGTTTATGTAAGTTATACAGTATATTATTACATCTTCTCAAGTAAGTAAGCAGTTGTGTAAATGTTAAAGAAACTTACTTTTGCGTTTTTCTGCTTTAGAAGGGCCTGACTGAATAAGCGCATTTCCCAAAGGATTTTCTATTTCTTGTTCATCAGCTTCTTCTTGATTCTTTCTTCTCCTTTTCTTTTGATTTAGGTCTGATTTTAATGCACTTTCCCCTGAGTCCTGTTCTGATAAAGTCAGAGACAATTGTTCTCCTTCAACTGTCTGAATGTCCTGTTCAAGTCTTTCTGTATCTGAAATCCTCGTATTCATAGACTCAGGTGAGCCATCATTTACTTCTTCACTGACTTTTTTCACTGAAAACAAGAAATGGTAATAAATGTGTAAACATACAAAAACGTTCCACCCCATGTATTTGTCAGCTTGTCATACTGTGGTTGCTTCATGTTGCTGTGATGCTAGAAACTGTGTCACTGGTATTTCAAATACCAGCAGGGTCAGCCAGTGTTTCAACAGAGCTTACAGACTAAGGAAGAACTAGGCAGTCCACGCCTGAATGACTGTTGTTGTTAAGTGCCATAGAGTCAATTCCGACGCACAGAGACCCTCCACCACACGGTTTCCCAGGAGCAGCTGGTGGATTGAAACCACTGCCCTTACAGTGCAGTGCACTAACGACCAGCACCACACCAGGACTGATTAGCCCCTGAAACTTCTAAGGGTAGCAGCAACTGACAGCCTGATACACCATCAGAAGAAGAGGAGAGGCGAAGTTTGGAATGCACTGAAAATAAGACTAAGGAAGATCTGTCAACTCAAAGTAGAGTCAACCTTAATGACATGGGTAAAACAAAGTTTCCAGGACCTTCATTTGCTGATGGGGCATCACTCAAAATGAGAACAGCTGCAAACATCCATTAACAATCAGAACATGGAATATACAAAGCATGCACGTAGAAAAATTGAAAGTTGTCAAAAGCAAAAAAGAATGCATGAAGATCAATATCCTAGGTATTAGTGAACTGAAATAGACAGGAATTGGCTATTTTAAATCTGACAGTTATATGGCTTACTCTGCCAGGAATGACAAACTATCAGGAATGCTGTTGCACTCACTCATCAAAAACAGCATTTTAAGATCTCTTTTGAAACACAAGGTTATCTGTGATAGGATAATACTCCTATAAGGAAGGCAAGTTAATACAACAATTATTTAAATTTATGCACCAACCACCAAAGCCAGTGATGAAAAAAAATAAGAAAAATTCTACCAATATCATCAGGCTGAAACTGATTTAACCTGCAATCAAGATGCACTGATAGTTATTGGTACTGGAATGCCAAAGCTGGAAACAAAAGAGGTGGTATCCATTGTTGGAAAACACTTGAAGATAGAAATGATGCTGGTATTCAACAAGAGAACTTTGCAAGACCAAAGACTTCTTCATTGCAAAAAAATTTTTTTTTCAACAATAGAAATGGCTACCATACACAAAGACCTCACCAGATAAAATATGCAGAAATCAACTTGATTACATCTGTGGGATAAGACAATGAAGCAGCTCAATATCATCAGTGAATACAAGGCCAGGGGCCGAATGTGGATGATAACATCAATTGTTCATACGCAAGTTAAGGCTGAAACTGAAGAAAATTAAGACAAGTCCATGGGAGCCAAAATATGATCCAAAATACCACTTGAATTAGAGACCATTTCAAAACATATTTGATGCACGGAATGCTAATGACCAAAAACCACAGGAGTTGTGGGATGACATCAAGAACATCATATACAGAGCAAGAAAAAGGCCATTAAAATGACAGGGAGAAAAGAGAACCAAGTAGGTATCAGAAGAGACTGAAACTTTACCAACACAAAGTAGCTAAAGACAATGGAAGAAATGAAATAAAAGAGCTTAACAGCTTTAAAAGACAAAGTATAATAATGAAATACGCAAGAACCAGAGCTAGAAAACCAAAAGGAAGAGCACACTCAGAGTATCTTAAGCTGAAAGTACTAAAGAAAAAATCCAAGCCTCAGATTGCAATGTGATGCTGTGTGGGATAAAGCACTGGACTGCAAGGTTGGTTTCAACCACAAGACTGGCAGTTCAAGTTCACCAGCTGCTTCTTGAAATCCCTATACAGGGTTGCTATTTGTCGGAACTGACTCAAAAGCAGTTAACAACAATGGTCAAAATACCGGGCATTGCAAAACATCGAAAGAAGATTAAACGAATACAGAGTCATTGTACCAAAAAATTGTTTGGTGTTCAACTATTTTAGGAAGTAGCATGTGATCACGAATTGATGGTACTGCCCATGGACAAGGACATAGCCAACGAGGGCTAGAGCTGAGAGTGAAGCATCCAGCTGATATGAAGTGAGGGGAGATATAAACGAATGCCCAAACTTGCAGATAGTACCCATCTGACCTAGCTTCAATGGCTGGATGATCACAACTGGACTAGAAGATTAAAAAAATTTGATTAAGGAAACAAATGTAAGTTGCTAAAATTTGATCAACTTGACCTATACTTAAGGATGTAGTAGCTCAAAACACAAACTGAGGGGGAAGGAGTCTTCATCCTATCCCTTCTGTACGCAAGGTTGTTAAGACATACAACTTAGACATTAGCTACCTAAAATGGGGGGGAGGGGGCCTATAAAGGCACAAAGTGACTAGCTTACAAGTTTTCAGGAGGGAATTAAGTCAAAGAGTGAGGATTAGTTAATCTTTAAGTCCAGGAAGAGGACCCTAGGACCATCAAGGGAGAACAGCATGAGAACATGGGAACCTAACCAGAGACGCAGTGACACCAGAGATGGAGGCAGAGATGAGGACATGAGAGAGGGAGCAGCTGAGGACTCTAGACTTATGGAAAAAGAAAGGCTGAGTGCTGGTGGTCAGAAGACAGCTTGCAGGATGTGCTCTTGGGTTGTTTAAATGATTATATACTCCTGAGTGTTTCTGTGTACATCTCCCCCCAAAAAACCAGAGGAACAGAAGCAAACACTGCTGAATAATGATGCACAGAGGAGATTGTAATCATTGCAATGAAATGATGAGTGTAAAACTGACGTTCCTCCATATAAACCATCACTCAATTCACATGAAAAACTTAAAAAAAAAAGAGCAAATTTAGTTTCAGAGTGTGTGGGGGAAAGTAGAATCCACACTGAATAGCTTTCATCTTGTCTAGACAGGTCTGGTGAAGAGATGGGGATAAGATTCTTATGATTCAATAGTAAGTTATTGTTATCATGACTAATTGCAACTGTCACAACTGTAAAGGTAGAAGTTTTGTAATAAAAATGGGGGAGAAGGGTAGTTAATCTTACAGTCTAGGAAGAGGAAACTAGGACCATCAAGGGACAAGAGCACAAGTGGAATGTGGTACCCTAGCCAGAGAAGCAGCGACACCAGAGATGGAGAAAGAGATGTTGACAATGAGAGAGCAGCTGAGAACTCAACTCATGGAAAGAGAAAGGCTGTGTGCTGGCGGCCAGGAGGCAGGCTTGTAGAATGTGCCCTTGGGTTGTTTAAATTATTATATATTCCTGAGTGTTTCTGTGTACATCCCCCCGCCAAAAAACCAGAGGGCATAGAAGCAAATACTGTTGAATGATGATGCACAGAGGGGATTGTTACCATTACAGTGAACTGATGAGTGTAAAATCAATGTTCTCCCATGTAAACTATCACTCAATTCACAATAAAAACTTAAAAAACAACTGATGGTACTGAAAGAAGAAAGTCCATCCAAGTTGCACTGAAGACATTAGTGAAAAACAAGACTTCAATGAACAATAAGGTTGTATCCTTTCACCAAACCTATTCAATCTATATGCTAAGTAACCAATTTGAGAAGCTAGACTTTATGAAAAAGGAATGTAGGAAGGCTCATTAACACGCAGATAAGCAAATGACACAATCTTACTTGCTAAAAGCAGACTTGAAGCACCTGCTGATGAAGATCAAAGAGTATTGATTAAAATTTAATGTAGAGAAAACAAACTTTATCTCAGAAATGGATCAAAAATATCACAAATAGACGAAAGACTGACATTGTCAAGGATTTCATTTTACTTGGATCCACAACTAAAGTTCGTGGAATCAGGAGCCAAGATATCAAATAATGTATTGTGCTTTGGGCAAATCAACTACAAAATATTTCTTTAAAGTAATAAAGAGCAAGAATGTCAATTGCAGTGCAAAAATTCTTTGAATGTCTCCTCTAGGCATCTTTGTAAACTCCCACCAAATGACTTTTTCCTCATGGGCCTAGGTAAAAGGGAGGGGAAAATGCTAATGGATTCTTTAATTCAGTTGTGAGTGATTGTTAACAGGGCTAATGTTGACTGGTTAATTTTGTCATCATGCTGGATATAAAATGAGTCATTTCAAAAGCAGGAGGGATCTCACCATCATTAAAGAAGAGCCAGGAGTAGAGTGCATACTTTGACCACTATGCATTAATGGTCCACCACCCCAGGACAGAAAGCTGTGACACTGAAGGGGTGGCAGAGAAGCAGCAGCAGCAGAGCCAAGAGGCAGAGAATGAAGGAGAGCAGTGGGCTTCCCCACCCACAGAGCAAGTAAAAACTGAGTGACTGTGGACAGAAGGCTTGCTTACAGAGTGGGGTGCCTCTAGGCACTTAATCGGGGGAGCTTGGTTTGCTGACCCAGGGAGCAAGAGTCAAGTGCCTTTGTATTAAGGCTTACTGTGGAGTGGTATGCCCTGGAGGCGTTTACCAACACACCTAAAAGAGTTCTGTAACATTGGGGGAGCAAGGGAGAGGCCAAGTCAAGAGGCTGAGGACCAGAGAGAGGTCTGCCTGTGGGCACAACAGAAAAGAGGCTGTTCTGACTAGAAGAACTGTGCCCTGACCATTAATTAAAACCTATACATTTCTCTAATACATCCCATTAACTGTGAGCATGGTGTCTGATTTTGGTGTCACGAATGAAACAAATTGTTTAACCTAGCTGAGAAGTAGAGAGGACTGTGGGAGAAAAGGTTGGAGTCGTTTATTTTGTAATTTTCCATGATAAGTGGGATTCACTGAGATGGCTTCAGATTCATGGAAGCATGGGGTTTTGTAAATGAACAAAGGGACATGGAAAATAAAACTTTTGATTTTTAGATGGTTACTGTTTGTTAGCTATAATGGCTGAATCAATATAAGAGCTATTATACTGCAAAATTAATTCAAAATTGGTCAATGACCTAAATATACAGAATGGAACCATAAAACACTTAGAAAAAACCATAGAGTTAAACTTTAAGACCTTAATTTGGACAACAGAAGCATAAGCAACAAAAGAAAATGGAACTAAACATCAAAATGAAAATTTTTTGTATAAAGGACTTTATTAACATCAAGAGCAGCCTACAAAATAAGAACATAAATACCTGATTATCATTTATCTAATTTGCAAAATAAATGTAAAAAACTTCTATAACTGAACAACAAAAAGATAAACAATCCAGTCAAAAATGGTCAAAGGAAATATACAAGTAGGGAGAGGGGAATGGAAGAACAAAGCAGATGGCAGAACAATTAGATCTCAATGGGCTAAGTGAGACACAGGTAAATAATGATATATGCACAACTTGAGAACAACAGGGTTCTGGGATACAGAGATGGAGCCATAGTTGGAATGTGGAAAAGGGGAGAATAATATTAAGATGCTTGGCTGTCTTTTGAATCTTGGTTTTCCTTGCATTATTTTATAAAATAGACACTGGAGGGGGAGAGAAAGGAATAGCGAAAAGCATCACCATAGAAATCTTGTAAGTCCGTCTTCTGCCTATAACTGATTGGAATACCTAAAATGGGGCTACAAAATCCCAGTGAAGGAAGCTTCCTGCGGAGCCTCTGCAATACATAAGACTATAGGTGGAAGCCTGAACCACATCCAGATCTCCAGAGATGGGAAATTCCCACTTGGAAGGACAAGCAGACCAACCTGGAGTGGCTAGAAGAACAGAAGATACTTCTTGAAAGAAAGACCTACAGGAAAAATATAAAACAACACAGGCAGACCGACTGTTACTACAAGAACAAGCAAGTTGCTTGCCCAGTAAACATCAAGGCCAAGTGGTCAGGTCCCCTCAATGCAAACCCCCTTCCAAAACTAAGACTCAATGGAATACACGCTGTGATTGGTGACCACCACGCTCGACACCCATAAGGGGAAGTGAGGGAAAAACAGTAATGAAGTGGTGAGCTAAGCCCTACAACGTTCAATAGACTTCTGTGAACCCGGGTGAAGACCTGGTTGGCCAGCAGTGTGGCAAGACCTGGGGACTCTTGGGCCCAGAGTCAGTGACATAGCCACAGAGGACTAGAGTGGAGAGTGAAGCATCCAGCTGATAAGAAGAGAGGGCATATGTATAAGAACACCCACACTTGCAAATAATACCCACTTATCCTGGCTTCAGTGACTGGATGACCAGAGCTCAACCAAAAGTAAAAAGAAGAGGGAAAAAAAAAAAGTATTCTCATCATCATACAATTTGATGAACTTGACCTACACCTATGGAAGCAGTAGTTCACAAGAGGGAACAAGTCCTTATAGCAAGAATCATTCCCACCCCCTCAACACACAGAGTAGACAGGGATGGGCAACTTGGACATTGGCTACACAAAATGAGGGGCAGGGGGCTACAAAGGCAAGAAGTGACTGGCTTACAAGCTTTCAAGAGGGAACCTAGATCCAGAGGGCCTGGAGGAAGGTAGAATCTCCAGTGAGTAGTATTCAATCTAACTAGGCGGGGCTGATGCAATGAAATGCAGTCGGGTCTCTTGTGATACAATAGTGAATAATTGTTATCAGGACTGATTGTTAGGGTAGACATTTTATAGCAAGGAGGGGGGTGACTAACTGTTCAGTCTAGGAGCAGAGGTCCCTAGTACCATCAAGGGAGAAGAGCAGAGAGTGGGACCCCACCCAGAGAAGCAGTGATGCCTGAAATGGAGCCAGAGATGATGACGTGGAGCGATGGAGCAGCTGGAGACTTTAGATCCAGAGACGGAGAGCGACTGTGTGCTGAAGACCTGGGGGGTACAGGGGAAGGATTGCATGCAGGGGATTGTAACCATGGCAATGAGATGATATATGATAGAATGAATGTAAAACTAATGTTCTCCCATGTAAACTATCACATAATTCACAATGAAACATTTAAGAAAAAAAAAAAAATGGGCAAAGGACTGGAATAAGCATTCCACTAGACAATAAACATACAGGTATGCATCACTTAATGCCTGTTCAGTCAACATCTAATGGCATATATAAGTCTGTGGTCCATAAGGGCTTTTTAGGTTTGCTTCCCCCTGACCCCTCCAAGGGAAAACAGCTCTCCTTTCGATCATTATTTCTCCCTAATGGTAATGGCTTTTAGGACCCTAAACCCAGCCTCTTGCAACAATGGACCACAGGTGGGATATAGGCAGCTGAAGCTGAAGACATGGCCCTGGGTACGGTCTCTCATGCTTTGTGACAGCAGCCAGGCAAAAGCAATGGAGATGGCTGTTAACAGAAAAACAGAAACAAGTGCTGGCAAGGATGCAAAGAAACTGGGACACTTGTGCACTACTAATAAACACAGTTCTGAACTGGTTTAAAGCAATTCAGCTGATAGAACAAGGCTGGCAATGCCTGCTTCATGTTGGTCAGCTGCCATATTTGAAGAGAGAACCACTGTGTCAAGTGGGACCCGTCCCTTAAGAAGAACCTCATGCTTGGTACAGCAGAGCATCAGAGAGAAAGAAGACCTTAAATAAGATGGACTGACAGAGTGGCTCAAATAAAATAACTGTGAAGAAGGCACAGGACCAAGCAGGGTTTCATTCTATTAGATACAGGTGTTAGAGCCCTCTCTTTATCTTTACAGACGCACTTAACAATAAAACACATGTGCTAGAAAGATGTCAAATAGTCTACTTACGCAAATTTTAAAATTCAAAAACAAATTGTTATTTTGACCCAGACAAATGGATAGAAAAATCAATTCCCTCAAATAAATTCTTAAAAGATTGAAAGGCCAATATTACTGCCAAGTATGTGGAGGCTCTAAAAAACTTGTGGAAAATGGAAATAAAATGGAATTTCCCCTCGGCCTTTTAGAAATCTCCTTATATATTACTACTGAGAAAATATATATATATACAGCACAGATTCTTGTTAAATAAATACCTTTCGCTTTTTTTCTTGGTTTAGAAGATTTCTTCTCTTTTGAATTGTTATTTTTAACTGATTTTTGTTTTCTTTTCTCTTCTTCGGCAAGAACTTTCTGAAGCAAATGAGCAAAAAAATCGAAGTCAAAAGGGCGCTTTTCTTCTGTTTAAAAAAGAAAGAAAAGAACTTTCAAGTTTTTATTTTCTACAGCATAAGATTAAAAGCAAATAGGTGTTTCTACCATAGGAAAATAAACAATTCCATTCACCGTAATACAGTTACACAACAGTCCAATACTTGACCCAAAAAAAGGAACTACTGAGACACAGAATATGGATGTATGTCAAAAACACGCTGAGTGAAAAAGACAAGCACAAAATTCCATGAATTCTGGCTGTACTTCTTCAAATGAATATTTGTTTTTCTGGTACTCCATGATACTTTTATTATACTTCTCCAACACCATAACTCAAATGCATCAAGTCTTCTATTGTCTTTCTTATTCACTGTCCAACTTTCACATGCATCTGAGGCTACTGAAATTACCATGGCTTGGGTTAGGCACACCTTAGTCCTCAACCTAAGCCCTCATCTTTGCTCTTGAACACTTTAAAGAGCTCTTATGCAGTAGATTTGTCAAATTAACAATACATCATCTAACTTTTTGCGCTTTCATGAGCTTTGGTTTTCCAAGGAAAATGAAGTTTTGACAACTTCAATCTTTTCTCCATTTATCATGATGTTATTTATAGGTTCAGTGGTGAGGATTTTTGTTTTCTTTACATTGAAGTGAAACCCATACTGAAGACCATGGTCTGGATCTTCATCAGTAAGTATTTTAAGCCCTCTTCACTTTCACCAAGCAAGGTTGTATCCTTTGAATTATCATAGTTGTTAATGAGTGTTCCTCAAATCCTGATGTCATGTTCTTCTTCATATAATTCAGCTTCTTACATTATTTGCTCAGCATACAGACTAAGTATGGTGAAATAATAAGAACCTGGTACACACCTTGCTAATTTTAATTATTCAGTATACCCTTGTTCTGTTCAAATGATTACTTATTGGTCTATTACAGGTTCCTCATTAGTACCATTACGTGCTGTCATAATCCACAGTCAAAAGTTTTTGCATAGTCAATAAAGCACAGATAAACAAACAACTTTCTATCATTCTCTGCTTTCAGCCAAGATCCATTAGACATCAGCAGTGGTATCCTTTGTTCCACATTCTTGTCTGAATCTGACTTGAACCTCTGTTCCATGTCAATGTACTGTTGCAGCTGTTTTGTTTTTGTTTTTTTTTTCCAATTATCTTCAGCAAGACTTTACTTGCAGATTGATACTGATGATATTTTCTGATCTTCACATTCTGCTGGGTCACCTTTCTTTGGAATGAGCACAAATATGGATCTCTTCCAATTAGGTGACCAGGTAACTGTCATTCATAATTCTGGTCATAGATGAGTGAGTGCCTCCAGTGCTGCATCAGTTTGCGGAAAGATTTTTCAATTTGTATTCCATCAATTCCGGAGGTATCTTTCTTTGCCCATGCCTTCAGTGCACCTTAGATTCTTCCCTCAAAACCCACTGACTCTTAATCATTTGCTACACTTTGAAATGGTAGAACAGTGACAATTTCTTTTTGGTACAATGACCCTGTGTACGTTTTCCAACTTCATTTGATGCTTTCTGCAACATTCAATATTTTACCCAATCCTTCTGTATCACAAGTTGAGGACTGAATTTTCCTTCAGTTCTTTCAGCTTGAGAAATGCTGAGCAAGTTCTTCCCTTCAGGTTTTCTAACTCCAGATCTTACACATTTCAATATATCGCTTGACTTTGTCTCTGCAAGATGTCCTCTGAAATTTTCTGTTCAGTTCTTTTACCTCCTAATTTCTTTTGTTTTAGCATCTACACTAGCAGAAGCAAGTTTCAGAGTCTGACATCCATTTTAGCCTTTCCCTTCTTTTTTGTCTTCTTAATGACCTTTTGCTTTCTTCCTGTATAATGCTGACTGGTTGTTTCTTTTTTCCTGTATGATATTCTTGATGCCATCCCACAACTCTTCTGGTCTTTATTCTTTATTATTTAATGCACCAAATCAGTTCTTGGGATGGTCTCTAAATTCAGGTGGAGTATGTTCCGGTCATATTTGAGTTCTTGTGGACTTGTTTTAATTTTCTTCAACTTCAGCCTGAACTTGCATAACTAATGGTGTGTTCCACATCTGCCCAGGCCTTGTTTGGGCTGATGATATTGAGTGTCTCCACTGTCTCATCCCATATATGCAGTCAAATTGATTCTTGTGTATTCTATTTGGTAAGGTCCATGTGTATAGACGACTTTTATGTTGTTTTAAAAAAGTATTTGCAATGAAGTCATTGATCTTGCAAAATTCTACCACGGGATAGCCAGCATGATTTCTATTACCAAGACCATATTTTCCAACTATTGATTCTTTGTCTTCGTTCCCAACCTTTGCATTCCAATCACCAACAATATCAATACAACTTGAATGCATGTTTGATCAATTTCAAACTAAAGAAATTGACAGAATTCTTTAATTTCACCATACTGGTTTTAGTGATTGGTGTGTAAATTTGAATAATGGTGGTCTTCCATGTAGGCATATGGAAATTATCCTATCAGAGGCAGAATTATACTTCAAGATAGATCTGTCAATTCAAAATGGCCAATACTAGCTCACTAATTTCAGCTGACTACTGCCTAGGATATCCATCTTTATGCATTTCATTTCTTTTTGATAACTTCCAATTTTCCTAGATTTGTACTTCATACATTCCATGCCCCGATTATTAAGGGATGTTTATAGGCATTTCTCCTCATTTTGAGTTGTGCCCTATTCTCAAGTGAAGTTTCTGAAAACTTCACTCCATTCACATTATAATGCTATGCTACTTTGAAGAGGCATCTCTTCCCCAGTTTTAGAGTGCTTTCCAACCCTAACGGCTCACCTTTCATCACTGTATCTGACAATATTTTCATGCTATTCAAGATCTTTTCATATTCTGGCATGCTATCTGACAATGCTCCATTGCTACTCATAAGGTTTTCAGTGGCTAAATATTCAGAAGTAGCCATTTTTCCTTTTTCCTACTCTTAGTCTGGAAACACAGCTGAAACCTGTCCACCACAGATGACCCTATTGGTATTTAAAACATCCATGTTATAGCTTCCAGCATTGTAACAACATGCAATCCAACACAGTACAACAAACTGACAAACCAGGGACCTGTCTAGAGTCTAGAAAATATCCTATGTCTTGTTTTGGGTAATGGCTCCATGGGTGTACTTATTGTCAAGTCTCATGAAACTATTGTGCTACGTGTAAATTATGTATCATTTTAAAATAAAAAAATAAATGGTCTATGGTGACTAAGAGATCGTCAAAAAGCCTACCCAGCATCATATGCCCTCTTTGTATCACAATCATCTTACTATTAGCGCTGCTCTTTCAAACGTCAGCAAAGAGGAAAAAGAATTAATATTGATGAGGATCCCTCCCACTAAATATACATCAACAGTACTACAAATAAGAAGAGCGATCAGCTAAGAAAGCAGGAATGCAACTGCTATAGGAGTAAAGTCCTTCCTTAAGTTATAAGTCTAAAGCCATATGAATGTAAAATACATAATGCTCTGCACACAGAAGCCCATGATTGGTTAGTTCACACAGTGGTCTCAGAAAAAGAGGTATATCACAAAACAAAAATATAAATAGTCTTACAGCATCAACCACAAATGGGAAACTCCCATTCAGTCCTTATCTGTTCTTACTCTCTACAACAATAGAGTTCCCACTAATATAATCCATAAAGAATCTCCACATGAATCTCAGAAAAATTCAAAATGTAAGTTTCAAATAATGTGCAGGTTTTGTTTTTTTTAATTCTCCACTACAAACTACTGAAGTACCTGGAAGTTGAATAAATATATTAAAATCACTTTTAAAAAGAATTCATACCCCAAACGAATGCTTACTCAATTATACATGCTTTCTAATTATGTGTTAAGCTCATAAAAATTTCATGACCATTTCTCTAAAATGGAGATAGGTGAAGCTCACAATACTTCAATTCTTGCAGGAATTCAATACAACACTGGGTATTAAAAAGACTACCCAGCTACCTAAATGCCTGTTCATAAAATAAGTGTATATGTCACACAACCTAAGTTCTCTATACTTATTTGCTAAAAGTAACACTATGGCAAATGGATATTGAATACATCTATTTATTATGAAACTATGATGCACATAAACTAAAAAAAAACCATTGTCATCGAGTTGATTCCACTTCACAGCAACCGTATAGGATAAAATAAAATTGCCCCATATAATATCCAAGGTTGTAATCTTTTCAGAAGGAGCTCTGGTAGCGTAGTGGTTACAAATTGGCTGCTATCCTCAGGGTCAGCAGTTCGAAACTACCAGCTGTTCCGTGGAAGAAAGATGAGGCTTTTTGCTTTCGTAAAGATTTACAGCCTCGGAAACCCTGTATAGGGTTGCTATGAGTTGGAACTGGCTCCATGGCACATTAACAACAACAACCATCTTTTCAGAGACACAGTACCACATCTTTCTCCAGTGGAGCAGCTAGAGAGCTTAAACTGCTGACTCTTCAGTTAACAGCCAAGTATTTAACCACTGTGCCATTAGGGTTCCTTTTAATAAGTATATTGCTGTTAAGAGCCACTGAGTTGGTTCACTCTTAGCGACTCTCTATAGGGTTTCCGAGGAACAGCTGATGTGTTTAAACTGCCAACCTTGAGGCTCAAACGACCTTGCAGTCATGCTTATAAAAAAAGAAATTATCTTCTAAACAAAGAACATAGGAATTTCATACTTTAAACAGTACATTAAATTTAAGTAACCATCTTTATAGATTCCTTGAGGCTTTCTCTGGACTTAAAAAGAATAAAATGTTATGAGAGCATTAGCTAGAAGCTGAACTGTATGTATCATTCCTCAGAACAGGTCTAAACTCAAGTGTTAACCTCTTCAAATGGATCTTCCCTGATAACCTAATCCAAAAAGCCACTCTCTTACTCTTCTTCTTAAAAATTAATCACGGTGGGGTGTGTGTGTGTGTGTGTGTGTGTGTGTGTGTGTGAAATTCATGGTCTGAAATGATCACTTTATCAATTGTTCTTGCTTCCATCAAATTAGATTTAAGAATCAAAAACCAAGACTCTCATCTACCCTGCTCTGCCACCTATAGCTAACGGGCAGGGCTGTTGAGTGACAGGCTACTTATAAGAAACCATCTCTGATACTCCACCTTCCAGGAACAATGAACTCTCTTCAATACAGTTCCCTCAGAAAAAGTGCTCTTCATGTGATATCTTCGATCCTTCTTTAACCTTTTAATACTCTGAACTATGCCCTGCTTTTGCTGTATTATCTACTCCCTTGCTTTTGGATCTGTGGCATTCCAAACTTCTATTGCTAAAGAGAGAAATTTCCAGTCTTCCTTTGACAACAGAGACAAAACAAATCTAATATACAGTGGAGCCAAAAAGACTGATCATTTTCAGGCTCTCCAAATGGTACTCCATAAAAGAGGCCTCAATACTTACGAAATGCTTTGTCTATTCTCCAGCCATTTGTTTTCTCTTCACGTTTAAACTTATTCTGTTAAAAAAAAAAACACAAACACAGTAATTTTATAATATATACAATAATTTAAATAATTAAAACACAGAATAATTTAAAGTATTTAAAAACATAAAGTATCAAAATGAAGCACTTAAGAATTACATACAGTTCTCAACTACACAATATGTCTGCCAAAAGGCAAGTAATGTAAACATTAGCTTTTTAAAAACAGGGATGCAAGATTTGTAAAGCACTTCCTCCTCACGATCAACAGCATGAATCAACAACGGAAACTAGGTTTACAGATAATAAAGCCAAACTCTGGTAGTGTAGTGGTTACAAGTTGGGCTGCTAATTTCACAGTCAACAGTTCGAAACCACCAGCAGTTCCGTGGGAGAAAGATGAGGCTTTCTGCTCCCGTAAAGATTTACAGTCTCAGAAACCCTACTATGAGTTAAAACCTGACTCTACAGCATATAACCATCACCACCATGGAAAAAATTAAATTAACCAGGGCGATCTTTTTAAAAAATAATAGATTCATACTAAATAAAACCTTTAACATTGTTGTTGTTATTAGGTGCCATCAAGTTGGTACCAACCCATAGTGACTTTATGCACAGCAGAACGAAACACTGCCCATCCAGGGCCAACCTCACTACTGTTGCCACATTTGAGTCCATCGATGCTGCCACTTGGCCAATCCATCTCGTTGGGGGTCTTCCTCTTTTTCTCTGACCCTCCACCTTACCAAACCTGATATCTTTCGACTGGTCCCTCCTAACAATATGTCCTAAGTCTGGTCATCTGACTTCCAAGGAGCATTCTAGCTGTACTTTACCAAGCTTAGATTGGTTTTTCTCTTTTTTATTGTCTTATTTTTCTCTCTCTCTTTCTCCGCTTTTGTTTTCTTTTTTCTAGCTGTCTCCTGCTTTTTTTGTTCTTTGTATTATTTTCTTTTTACTGTTGTTTGCTGGTTTGTTTTCATTCTCTCTTGTGTTTTATCTTCTTGCATCACCCAAGAGAATACAGCAACCATGTACATACAGCCCAACCATAACTGTACCGTACCCTCCACATTACAATCCATTGGAAAAAGCATCAATACCAACTGCTACACACCGGATCAATGGCAACAACCAACATCAGCTAAAACCCTCTTAAACTGAACTGCACCAATGTTGAACAGAGGACAGTACACAAACTCATCTCCTGTTCACACCCACCAGAAGACAGTTGACACATGCTTAAAATACCAAATTAATACAAACACAAAACCAGCCAAGAAGTAGACAATTATAAGAGGGACAACAACACTAGTAAGTTATTCTAACTTAATAGTCACCCATTAAAAATTAAAAGGGCAACATGTTCCTAAGGACAAAGCTGATGAAGGAATGGAAAGGTGGGTGGAATGGAAATACAAACCATAGGTAGGAAGTGTGAAAACTGTTGTTGCATGGAGGGGATTGCAATCACTGAAATGAAACAAAGGCTATAATTTTTTTAATCTAAAACCAATGATTTTGTCTGTAACCTTGACTCAATTCACAAAAAGTATAAACAAAAGAAAAAAAAAAAAAAAAAAACAGAATAGTACAGTATGTCCTGCTTATCCCATGCAAACCCCATGTGGGGACCATGTCTGATTTACCCTGGCTTCACAAGGGGGAAACTGAGGATCAAACTCAAAATCTGCCCAAGACCGATACATGCCTCTACCCTACAACCTTCTTTATCCTTTTCAGATGCCAACAATCCATTCCACAGCACTCTGCTTCATATCTGAGTTTGATAATCAATTATAATGGCCACACAGCACTGAAAATACTCATGATTATGGAGGGTATTAGGGGAATGAATCCACCACTCATCTGTCAGTTTGTCGTACTGTGGTTGCTTGTGAGTTGCTGTGATTCTGGAAGTTATGCCACCAGTATTTTAAATACCAGCAGGTTCACCCACAGTGTACAGATTTCAGATGAGCTCCCAGACGAAGACAGACCAGGAAGAAGAAGTAATGAACTACTTCCGAATATTTAGTCACTGAAAACCTTATGAATAGCAGAGAAACACTGTCAGATATAGTGCCGGAAAAAGAGCCCTTCAGGTTGGAAGGCACTCAAAATGTGACTGGGGAAGAGCTGCCTCCTCAAAGCAGAGTTGACGGTGATAATGTAAATGGAGTAAAGCCTGTGGGAGAAAAGCCCGCGGGACCATCATTTGCTGATGCATTACAACTTAAAATGAAGAGAAACTGCTGTAAACATGCATTAATAACCAGAACACAGTACGAAGCATGATTCTAGGAAAATTGGAAATTGTCAGAAATGAAATGGAATGCATAAACATCAATATCTTAGGCACTACAGAGCTGAAATGGACTGGTATTGGCCATTTTGAATCTGACAACCACATGGTTTACTATGCTGAGAATGACAGATTGAAGAGGAATGGTGTTGCATTTACTGTCAAAAAGAACATATGCAGATCAGCCATGATGTACAATGCTGTCTGATAGGATAATATCCATGTGCCTACAAGAAGACCAGTTAATACTACTATTATTCAAATTTATGCACCAACCACTAAAGCCAGTGAGGAAGAAACAGAAGAATTCTACCAACTTCTTCAATCTGAAATTGATCAAACATGCAATGAAGATGTATTGATCATTACTGGTGATTGGAATGCAAAGGTTGGGAGGCAAAGAAGAAGGATCAGTAGTTGGAAAATATGGCCTTGGTGATAGAAATGATGCTGGAGATCATGATAGAATTCTGAAAAATGAATGATTTGTTCATTTCAAATACGTTCTTTAGACAGCATAAGAGACAATTATACACATGGATGGAACTCAGTAGACGGAATACACAGAAATCAAATTGACTATATCTGCAGAAAGAGACAAAGGAAAAGCTCCAAATCACCAGTCAAAACAAGGCCAGCAGCAGATTGTGGAACAGATCATGAATTGTTCATATGCAAATTCAGGCTCTTCAGAATCCAGATTGAATTTCTGGTAGATCCCTGTTGATGGTCTGCTTCAATTCTTTTAAAAGCATCTTCAGAAAAATGTTACTTATGTGTAACATTAATGATACTGTTCAGGAATTTCTACATTGTTAGGTCACCTTTCTTTGCAATGGGCATAAATGTAGAGCTCTTCTAGGCTGTTGGCCAGGTAATTGTCTTCCAAATTCCTTGGCATAGATAAGCAATTGCTTCCAGTGCTGCATAAATTTGTTGAAATATCTTAACTGGTTATTAGTCAGTTTCTGGAACTTAACTGGGTATCAGTCAATTCCTGGAGCCCCGTTTTTCGCCAATGTCTTCAGTGCAGCTTTGAATTGTTTCTTAAATATCATTGGTTTTTGAAATGGTTGAATGACAACCAATTATTTTTGGTATAGTGATTCCTTGTATTCCTTCCAACTTCTTCTATTTTTCTTGTAACAATCAATTATTTCATCCATAGAATCCTTCAACATTGCAACCCGAGGCTTGAATTTTTTTCTTCAGTTCTATAAGCTTGAGAAATGCTGAGCATGTTCCTTCCTTTTGGTTTTCTAACTCCTGGTCTTGGCACATTTCATTATAATACTTTATTTTGTCTTCTAGAGCTGCTCGTTGAAATTCTCTCTTCAGTTCTTTTTACTTCATCATTTCTTCCTTTCCTTTTCGCTATTTTACACTCAAGAGCAAGTTTCAGAGTCTCTAGTGACATTCACATTGGACTTTTTTCTTTCTTTTCTGTCTCTTCAGTGACCTTTTGATTTGTTCATGTATGTTGTCCTAGAGGTCATCTCACAAATCATCTAAATGTACAGTCATTAGTGTTCGATTTATCAAATCTATTACTGAGATAGTCTCTAAAGTCAGGATATACTTAAGACCATATTTTGGTTTTCGTGAACTTTTGTCAGCACCAACTTTAACTTGCATATGAGCAACTAACTGTCTGTTCAATAGTCAGCCTCTGGCTTTATTCTGACTGATAATACTGAGCTTCTCTTTTGTCTTTTTCCACAAATGCAGTCATTTTATTCCTGTGTATTCCATCTGGCGAGGTTCATGTGTATGTTGTTGTTGTTAGGTGCCACTAAGTACGTACTGACTCAGCAACTTTATGCACAGCAGAACGAAACACGGCCCCATCCTGGGCCAACCTCACTACCGTTGCCACACTTGAGTCCACTGATGCTGCCACTTGGCCAATCCATCTCGTTGGGGGTCTTCCTCTTTTTCTCTGACCCTCCACTTTACTAAACATGATGTCCTTCTCCAGTGACGGGTCCCTCCTGACAATATGTCTGAAGTATGAGAGATAAAGTTTGGCCATCTTGTCCATTCATGTGTATGCTGTTGTTAAGTGCCATCAATGATTCCGACCCATAGTGACCCTGTATAGGGTTTCCAAGGAGCAGCTGGGGAGCTTGAACCACAAACATTGCAGTTCAAATGGCTTTGCAGTCTGGTGCATTAACCCGCAGTGCCACACCATTAATGTTGTTGAAAAGGGTACTGACAATGAATTAGTTATTGGATAGGCAATCTCTGGCCTCAACAAGTTTCTGCCACATGGGCCATATTTTCCAATAGTTGATCCTTCTTTGTTATCAACTTCAACATTCTAATCACCATTACGTCAATGCATTTTGATTGTATGCTAAATCAATTTCAGTGAACTGAAGTCAATAAAAATCTTGGAATTCTTCATCTTTGGAATTAGTGGTTGATATATAAATTTGATTAAGTCTTACTTAGTAATCTTTCCTATAGGTGTTTGGATATTATCCTTTTACTGACAGTGTTGTACTACAGGACAGATCTTGAAATGGTCTCTCTGACAATAATTCGGATGCCATTCCCTTACAATATGTCACTCGCAGCATAGTCTATCATGTTGCTGTAGTTGTTAACTGCCGTGGAGTCAGTTCCAACTCATAGTGACCCTGTATGGGGTTTCCAAGGAGTGGCTGGTGAGTATCAGTCATCAACCTTGTGATTCAAACCAACACTGCAATCCAGTGTTTTATTCCACAGCACCACCAAGACTCCCATACCATAGTCTGTCATATCACTGTCCAATTCAAAATGACCAATACCTATCAGGATTCTAATGCCTTGGATACAGATTTTCATGGATTGCACTCCATTTTTGACAATTTCTAATTTTCCTAGATTCATGCTTCACATTCCAGTTATTAATGGATGTTTGCAGCTGTCGTTTTTCATTTTAAATCACATGAGCAAATGAATACACCATCCACATCATTAAAATTGGCACTACTTTGAGGAGACAGCTAGCTGTTCCCCTGGTACCTTTCACCCTTAGGGGCTCATCTTCTGGCTCTAAATAAGATAATGTTCCACTACCATTTACAAGGTTTCCAACGGACAGTTTTCCCCCCAGAAACACACTAATAAATCATTCATCTCAGTATTTTAGTCTGGAAGCACCACTGAAACCTATCCATCATGGGTGACCCTGCTGCTATCTGAAATAATGGCAGCACATTTGCTAGCTTCACAGCAATGCACAAGCCCCAACAGTATGACAAACCAATGGTAATTAACCTTCAAAACTGTCAATTTTAACTTTTCTACACTTTGCACAAATACCTACGGTAACCACACTCAGCATTTTTACAGGAAGAGTCTAAAAACATTTTAAAAGAAATAGTCTAATGACAAATTCGCCATGAATTCCTTAGATCATCTGAGCTCCAATCTTAATTGATTAGTTTATAGTCTTCAATTAAGAAGCTCTGGTGGTGCTGTGTTATGTTGCTAACCACAAGGTTGGTGGTTCAAACTCACCAGCTGCTCTGCAGTAAAATGTGAGGCTGCCTGGTCCTGTGAAGATTTACAATCTCACAAACCTCTAAAGGGTCGCTATGAGTATGAACTGACTCAATGGCAATGGGTTTGGGTTTGGGTTTGAGCCTTCAGATAAACTGTTGGCTGGTGGTGCCTGGACCTAACCACCAATTCTGCAGTCACAGTAAAGTCCCCCATCAGAAGGATGAAGGAACTGAAAGACCAGTAGAAGCTCCACCACATGAGACCTCTCTAGCATGTAATAAATGGGTTAATTTATATAATGAGGGGAAAAAAAAGTTCCTGTTATTAATGTAATAAATACCACGGGTGTGAAGGATGAAGGGAAAAATCAAAAGGTAAGGGTCTCATTATGAAGCAGGAAAATACAGTAATACCACTCATGTACTCAAACCAACAAAACTCCAAGTTTCTCAGCAAATAAAACAATGAAACAGAGAAAGTTCATCCTCTGAGACAAATTATTGTAATTAGTGCTGTCAAGTCGATTCCGACCCATAACGACTCTGTGTAAGATTTCCAAGTAGCTGCTGGTGAACTTGAAGCACCAAGCTTGCAGTTCACACCAACTTTCAATCCAGCGCACTAACCCACAGCGCCACACCAGGACTCCCCTTCAATGATCAGTGTCATGGTTAATGACCCAGTTAAGGCAGCCTAGCAAAGCAACAGAAGAGATGATAATAATCGTTTGACAGCCTAGTTCCCTTTCTGCCTCCAAGGAAATATAGAAATATACTTACTCTAAATGAAAGTATTCTGATAATATCATTTCTTGATTATATCACTTTTATTTTATCTTAGGCTTCTAGGCCTTTATTAGTACTATCTAGCAGTCATTTTAGAAGTGCTTCAGGTATCAAAAAAAAAAAAAGTATGTGTATGTGTATGTTGTTGTTGTTAAATGCCATCGAGTCGGGTCCGACCCATAGCGACCCTGTACAGGGTTTCCGAGGGTGTAAATCTTTACGGGAGTAGAAAGCCTCATCTTTCTCCCGCGGAGCGGCTGGTAGTTTCGAACCGCTGACCTTAAGGTTCGCAGCCCGATTCGTAACCACTACGCTACCAGAGCTCCTTGTGTATGTGTATATATATATATATTATATATATACACATACACACACACACACATACACACACACTGCTGCTGTTGTTAAATGCCATCAAGTCAGTTCCAACTCGTAGTGACCCTGCATAAGGTTTATACATGTGTGTGTTTGTGTGTATGGATGTGTGCATCAATGCTAAAAATGAAAAATATATTACTTTTTAAGCAATAAAGAGATGTAACAAAATACAACAGAAAACTTAATAGTAAAAAAGAATAGACTGAGATAAAAAACAAACACAATAATAGTAACATAAGAACTCTAATCTCTTTATAATTAAGAAACATGATGTGTTTACCTTAATTTCTATCCTTGCTCTGTGAGGAAAAAGTTGTCCAATCATAGAAAAATCAGTCCCCACCATGCTGATGGCTAAAAAGAACATATCTGTTTCTGTAAAAATAAAAGATTTACAGTGAATGAAAATTAATATTTCAGTGAAAACAAATCTTACATAAGTATGAATCAACTTCAAAAAGTTTGTGGAAAAGTGGATTTAAAAGGTAGCCATCTATTAATTATTCATGGTCTAGAGAGGAGACAGACACATGTTAACATGGGTGGTGGGGTGAGGCAGGCAATATATACAACAGGGAGGTTGACAGAAGAAAAGTTGCAGGAGTCAAGGGAGGAGTGCAAAAGTTAAAGGAAATAGAGATAAATACTACCAATTGATGGTACATAGAGGGGACTAAGGAGCTCTGATAGTGTAGTGGTTACGAATCAGGCTGCGAACCTCAAGGTCAGCAGTTCGAAACTACCAGCTGCTCTGCGGGAGAAAGATGAGGCTTTCTGCTCCTAAAGATTTACAGCCTCGGAAACCCTGTACAGGGTCGCTATGAGTCAGAACCGACTCCACAGCACATAACAACAACAGAGGGGACTGCAACCATATGTATAATGAAGCAAAGTATATGATTTGTTACATGTAAAACTGGTGATCTACTGTGTAAAGATTCACTCGATTCACAACAACAACAAAAAAGTTAATGGAATTTTTCCAGGAACTTTTGAAGCCCCCTGGTATGGGCTCTTGAGTTAAAAAGAAATTTGACAGTACTTGACCAAAGTCCAGTAAGTCTTAGTCACAGATACCATTTCACAGCAAAGAACTTCATAAAATATCTAACATTTCTTTAAACTGTTGAAGATGAAAGCATTAAGTATAAGAAATTTGCACACTCATACCAAAGCAACTAGAATTTAAAAGATAGAGCCTGTATGGTCTCAAAGTGTCCCCCTTCAAAAAGAAAAAAAAAAAACAAACCTATCAATTCTAGTCAATATATTATTGTACTATGCAATCAACTGGGGAGCGCAATGGCTCCATAGGATAAGAACTGGACTGCAAACCACAATGTTGGCAGTTCAAGCTCACCAGCGGCTCGGCAAGAGAAAGATGAGGCTCTCTGCTCATGCAAAGCAGATTTAGAGCCTCAAAAACCCTATACAGGGTCACTATGAGTCAAAATCGACTTCACAGCATTTAACAACAACATGTAATCAACTAGGACGTGCTAAGTAGTTTGTGAAAGAAAACTGCTAGAAAGATTCACAAGTTACTTCATTAAAATGGGGTTGGGAAGACAGAGAAGAGTACTATCAAATATTTATTTTTATTTTATAAGATTTAAATTTTCCCAAAATGAATTCTACTATTTTTATAATAAAAAGTAAATAAGCAACAGTATGCAATAGGTATACCATACCTTTATGCAAATAATGCATGCTATACATTTTGTGTTATTTATAAAGACCCCATAACCCCTTCATGGGTTAGTTTTCTATGTGCCCTAGGCACATGCATTGTTTATACAGTTGCATTATATAGTATATATTTTTAACAGTACACTTTTTACATATGTAAACTTCATTATACAACACTAAGAAATAACATAATATAAACAATACAAACTGTTTCATTACTGTGGTGCTCACTGGACAGGAATTTGATGTAGAGGAATGTTGTTAGGTGATGTAGAATTAATTCCAATGCATGGTGACCCTTTGCATAACAGAACGAAACACTGCCTGGTCCTGCACCATACTCACAATTGTTATGTTTTAGTTCATTTGTGTTGTCACTGCATCAATCCATCTTGTTGGGGTCTTCATCTTTTTCACTGATGCTCAACATTAGCAAGCATGGTATGTCCAAAGAACAAGAGACGAAGTCTCACCATACTGGCTTCTAGATGCACTCTGGCTGTACTTCTTCCAAAACATTTGTTTATTCTTCTAGCAGTACTTTCAATTCTCTTTGTCAACAACATAATTCAAATACAGTAATGCTTTTAGGGTCTTTCTTATTTCATTGTCTAACTTTCACAAGCATATGAGGCAAGAGAAAATACTAGGGCTTGGATCTGGTACACCTTAGTCCTCAAACTGACATCTTTGCTCTTTAACACTTCAAAGAGGTCTTTTGCAGATTTGCCTAACGCAATATATCATTAAATTACTTGACCACTGCTTTCATGAGTTGAATGTGGATCCAAGCAAAGTGAAGTTTTTGACAACTTCAATCTTTTCTATGTTTATCATGGTGGTATTTATTGGCCTAGTTTTGAGGATTTTTGTTTTCTATACATTGATGTTCAACCCATACTGAGGGATGTGGTCTTCAATCTTCATCAGTAAATATTTCAAGTTTTCTTGGCTTCAAACAAGTAAGGTTGTGTTATCTGCATATTTAGGTTTCTAGTAAATCTTTCAATCCTGATGTCACATTCTTCTTCTTATAATGCAGCTTCTTGGATTATCTGATCACAATACAGACTGAGTAAGTATGGTACAAGGATACAACCCTGACATAACATTTTTCCTATTAAACCATTCAGTATCCCCTTATTCTGTTCTAAACACTATCTCTTGGTCTATGTACCGGTAACTCATGAGCACAGTAAGTGTTCTGTAATACCGGTTCTTCACAACGTTATCCACAGTTTGTTGAAAGCCTTTGCATGGTCAATAATGCACAAGTAAACATTTTTCTGTTATTCACTGCTTTCAGTCCAGAACCATTTAACATCAGTAATGATATCCCTAGTCCCACGTCCTCTTCTGAATCCAGTTTGAATTTCTGGCAGTTTACTGTCAATGTACTGTTGTATCCAGTTTTTAAATTATCTTCAGCAAAATTTTACTTGCATGTGATATTTATGATATTGTTTGATAATTCCTATATTTATTTGGTCACCTTTCTTTGGAATGGGCACAAATATTATCTTTTCCAATGGGTTGGCAAGGTAGCTATTTTCCAAATTTCCTGGCATAGATGACTGAGCACAACATCAATGTGTTGGAAGTTTTTAATTTGTATCGCATCAATTCCCGAAGCCTTGTTTTTTACTATGCCTTCAGTGCAGCCTGGACATTTTCCTTCAGTACTATCAGTTCTTGGTCACATACTACCTGTTAAACTGGTGATACATCAACCAATTTTTTGGTACAGTAACTCTCTGCATTCCTTAATCTTTTTTTGTTTTGTTTTTAAGTTTTTACTGTGAATTATGTGATAGTTTACATGGAAAAACATTAGCTTTACATTCATCCTATTTTATTTCGTTTCATTGCAATGATTACGATGCCCTCCAAGCATCATCAACCAACCAAAGGTTACACCTCACAAGCCTGCCCTCCCGGCCATCAGCACACATCCCCTCTCCCTCCCTGAGTCCAGAGTTTCCAGCCACTCCACCTCTCCATGTCATTGTCTCTGCCTCCATGTCTGGCATCACCGCTACTCTGGATAGGGTCCCAAACTCAGTTTTTCTCCTTTGATGATCCCAGGCACCTCCGCTCCTAGATGGCAAAATCAACCACTCCCGTCCTTTTGCTACAAAATGTCTACCTTTACCTTTCCAACACTCAACAGTCAGTCCTGATAGCAATTATTCATTATTGAACCACAAAAGTCTTTACCCCATCTCCTTTCATCAGCCCTGTCCAGACAGGTTGGAAACCACTCAGTGGAGGTTCTACCTTTCCCCATCCTCAATCTTCTTTTGAATTCATCATTCAATACTGTATCATTCAACATTTTGTTCATAGAATCCTTCAGTATTTCAAGTTTAGGCTTGAATTTTTTTCTTCAGTTCTTTCAGCTTGAGAAATGTTCCCCCCTTTTGGTTTCATAACTCAAAATCTTTGCATAATTCATTACAATACTTGATTTTATCATCTTGAACTGCCCTTTGAAATTTTTCATTCAGTTATTTTATGTCATTTCTTCATAGGTCAAAGTCTCTTCTGGCATCGTTTGATCTTTCCTTCTTTCCCTAGATTTTTAATGACTTTTTGCTTTCTTCATGGGTGATATTCTGATGTCATCACACAGCTCTCTTGGTCACTGGTAATCAAATTTGTTCTGGAGCTGGTCCCTTAATTCAGATGAGATATGTTTAAGGTCATATTTTGACTCTTCAGCAACTGAAGGTCTGTTCCAGTCAGCCCCTGGCCTTGTTTTAGTTGATATTCATCTTCTCCATTGTCTCTTCTCACAAATGCACTCAATGTGATTCTGTGTATTCCATTTGCTGAGGTCCACATGTATAGTCACTGTTTACATTGTTGGAAAAAGGTATTTGGAAATTTTGTCATTGGTCTTTCAAAATCTTTATAATGCATATTTTCCAAATACTGATGCTTCCTCTGTACTTCCAACTTTGTATTCCAATCACTAGTAATTATCAATGTATCTTGATTATATGCTTGATCAATTTCAATTGAAGGAACTGGTAGAATTCTGGGTTTAATGGTTGGGGCTTAATTTGAATAATAGTCATACTTAGTGGTCTTTGTTTTGTTGTTATTAAATGCCGTCAAGTCAGTTCTGACTCATAGCAATAGTGTATAGGGTTTCCAAGTAGTGATTATTGACTTTGAACCTCCAACCTTGCAATTCAAACTGACCCTGCAGTCCAGTACTTATCTACAGCACAGCACCAGGTCTTCTTTGCAGGTGTATGGATATTATCCTATCACAGGCAGCATTGTACTTCAAGATAAATCTTGAAATGGTTTTTTTTGATGAAGAATGTGACGCCATTTCTCTTTTTTGTTTCCAGCACTGTAAACCACATTTATCTGATTTAAAATGACCAAAACCAGTCCATTTCAGCTCATTAATGCCTAGAATATTGACGGTTATATGTTTTCTTTCATTTTTGAGAATTTCCGATTTTCCTTGATTCATACTTCATACACTCCACATTCAGATTGTTAACAGATAGTTGCAGTTGTTTCTTTCTCATTTGAAGATGTATTCCAGGAGGAAATGAAGGTCCTAAAAGCTCTACTCCCCTCATTACAGTCAGCTCTACTTTGAGGAGGCAGTTCTTTCCCAGTCACATTTTGAATGCATCCCAACTTGCCGGATTCACTTCTGGTACTATATCTGACAATTTTCCACTGTTATTCATAAGGTTTTCAGTGGCTATCCATTCAGAAGTGCTCCACCTCTTCTTTCTAGCTAACCTTAGCCTGAAGGTTCCACTGATATCTGTTCACCATAAGTGACCATCTGGTATTTAAATACCAGTGGTATAGCTTCCAGCATCACAGCAACACACAAGCCACCACAGAACAACAAAAAGACAGACAAATGGTAAACATTAATGTAATAAATACTATTGAGGATTAGTTCAGCAAAAAAGATATTTAAGATAAAGTCAGAGAGTGAGAGATATGAGGGAGCAGAGAAGGGAGAGGTGGCAATAAAATTAGTTGCAAATATTTGAAGAGAAAAAAACATTGTAGTTTGCATATTTTTTTAAGAGACCTCGTTTAATTCAGAAAAAGAAAAAATAACATCATTTTAAATAAATAAGTTATGCAATTTAAAATTTACCTTTATTTGACCATGGTTTAGAGTAATAGTTTTTCCTAAAGCTGGAATATGTAGTTGTAGAACCACGCTCAAATATGGGGTCATTTTCCTCAACAACGCAGGGACCTTTTGTCCTTAAAACTTCTACAGTTAAACTGAAAGAAACACATTTTGAAATAGAGCCACAATTAAAACAAGAAAAAAAGTAGTAAATAAGATTTGAATAGTTATTATAAGGGTACTTCAAAAAGTTTGTGGAAAAATTCCATGATCTTCTAATTTCATTTTTCACGAACTTTTTGAAGCATCCTCGTATTTTGAAATTTACCATGGTAGTCATATAAAAAATATGCATTCTCTAATCATACGCTAATTTTCTAATAAAATATGATGCCCAGGTGGTAAAAATAAATAACATCTTGTTGTTTAAAACCCTAAACAGTTACATAAATTTACAAAATACTTTGGGACCACCTAAAAAAATTATTATTTTATTGACTTCTTCAAGCCTTCCATAGTCAATATGTATTTTTACTCTAAGTCCATCAGGGGATATAAGCATTTCATATTTATGTGTTACATTCCTGCAGTCCAGACAGTAATATATAGCCAATGATCAGTAAAACTGTCAACATAAGCTAAAGGAAAATAACCTGCAAAAACAACTCATCAACCCCCTTCCAAGACTAAGACTCAACGGAAATACGCTCTGATTGGTGACCACACGCATCAACGATAGGGGGAAGAGGGGTAAAACAGCAATGAAGCGGCAAGCTAAGCCTTACAATGTTCAGTGGGCTTCTGTAGACCCAGTTGGGGACCTGCTTGGCAAGCAATGTTAGGAGACCTGGGGACTCTTGGGCCCAGAGTCAGTGGCATGTCCACGGAGGACTCGAGTGGAGAGTGGAGCTACCGGCTGATGGGAAGAGAGGGCATGTGCACAAGAAAACCCACACTTGCAGATAGTACCCACGTCACCTGGACCAGATGACTAGATGATCAGAGCTCAACCAGGAGAAGAAAGAAGAGGAAAAAAAAAAAAAAAAAAGAGTGAGCTGATACAATCTGATGAACTTGACCTATACCTACGGATGCAGTGACTCAAAAGAAGGAACAAATCCTTACAGCAAGAAACATTCCCACCCCCTCCACACAGAGTAGACAGAGATGGGCAACTTGGACATTGGATACCCAAATGGGGAGGGGGGACTACAAAGGCAAGAAGTGACTGGCTTACAAGCTTTCAAGAGGGAACCTAGAGCTAGGGGGCATAGAAGAAGGCAGAATCTCCAGTGAGTACTATCCAATCCGTCTAGGCAGAGATGATGAAATGAAATACAGATAGGTAACTCGTATCAGGACTGATTATGAGGGTTGGAAATGCAAAGGTAGACATTCTGCAGCAAGGAAGGGAGTGATTATTTCTCTAGTCTAGGAGCAGAGGTCTCTAGGACCATCAACGGAGAAAAGCCGAGAATGGGACCCTACCCAGAGAACCACAGAGGCCTGAGATGGAGATGGAGACAGAGATGATGACGTGGAGTGATGAAGCGGCTGGGGACTTTGGATCCAGAGAGGGAGAGGGACTATGGGCCGAAGCCTTAGGGGGGCGGGGGGAGGTGTAGGGGGAGGGTTTCTAGGATATACCCTTTGGTCGGTTGATGATGTATGAAGGGAATTGGAACCATGGCAATGAAATTATATACGATGGAATGAATGTAAAACTAAAGTTCTCTCATGTAAACTATCATATAATTCACAATAAAACATTAAAAAATAAACCTCATCAATAATTGTACATTTATGATTATCATAGAATAAACTGATGAAATATTTTCTATCCCTCTTTTATATCCACTTATTGACTTCCAGTGTGGCACTGTATGTAGGATCAGCACTGGACTGTGAACCACAAGGTCAGAAGTTCAAACCCACTAGCTGCTCCTTGGATACCCTGAACAGGGAGTCACTGAGTCGGAACCAACTCGATGGCACTTAACAACATTTACATATTTTCACTCTTCTTTGAAAGAATATACTTTGGAACTGTACCTAAATTCCACAATGCCTAAATTTGAGGAACTTAATATTACAACTAAGAAATCAAACCAGAAAGTAAATTACCATAGCAAAAAACATGGAACGTATCATCACACAGGAATTGTTTCACCACACACCAGAATATGGTATTAGTTAATAATATGAAATTTAAATATTGACTTCAAGAATACAAATCTGCCTTAGAAATGTGTCCTCAGTGGAAGACAGCATGTTATCACTTGAGAAGCTCAATCCAATGATATCTTCTTATACAGAACACAGCAATATAAAAATTGCTAAAAAATATATACAAATATTATCTACCTTTCTATTTTTAATATCCATTATACAAATACAAACAGCAGGGTTTATATGACAAATGATACACATAGAAACCTGGTTTCTCATTAAACTAAGTACATTTGTTCTCCTGAAACCACAATCTCTTTAAGCTACCTTTCTTCATCCAAAATAATAGTACCATCTTCTGCCACTTTAACTCGAGGAACCAGCAATGGCCCATCATCAATCTCTTCTTCCATTTCTTCATTTTCCTCAGCATCAGGAGTACTCTTACTTTCTTGCCTACAAAAAGTAACAATAGGTTAATTCATACAGCCATGAAAAGTGTTTCCTAAATAGTATTTCTAAAATTAAGTATTACAATCCAAACTTCTAGCTATTTGCAACTTTTCCTATGAGTTGAAAACACTGTGTGTTGTTGAATACATGGTTATAAGAATTCCTCATATTTTATTCTAGTAGTGTTCACTAAGGTACAGTTGCTCTCTTCCAAAATGAAAGAAATGAATACTTATCTTTTCCATCTCAATCAAAAACCGAAGTAAGCCATCCAGTTATTATGGAATCAACAATAATGCCTTATCGTTAAATAGCATTACTTTCCAGACTATCTTTACTTTCCAGAACAATCTTTCAAGGTTAGCATTTTCATACTCATTTGAAACATACAAAAGATTAAAAAAAAAAACAAAACCCTTTTTCTCTAAGTTACACCACAGTAATAAGTCAGAAGTCAAACATGAATTTCCAAATAAAAATTCCACAGCCCATATATTGTCCAGTCTACTCTCTCCTTAACCAAGTATTACTAAAGCAACTTTTAACATACTGTCACTGTTAAGTGCCATTCAGTCAGTTCTAATTCAGAGAAACACTGTATGAGGTTTCTGAGGAGTGCCTAGTGGGTTTGAACCACCCACCTTGTGGTTAGCAGTCCAGTGCTTATTCTACAGAAGCATACCAGGATCCCAAGTACAACATGATTGGTTATGTGCTATGGAGTCAGTTCCAACTCTTAAGAGACCCTGTGTATGGTTTCAAAGGCTATAAATCTTTACGGGAGCAGAAAGTCTCATCTTTCTTCTGTGGAACTGGGGTTGTTTCAAACTGCTGACCTTGAGGTTAGCAGCTCAACTCATAACAGCTACACTACCATATAAACCTATTTTTAAAGCTTTAGGCTTTTACTTTCAAACATTGTTGATTTGAGGAAAAAATAGTCATCACTATTTAAAAACACTTAAAGTAACAACCTGAAAACTTCCAATATTTCTGCTATTGTTTTCACAATGTCCCACCTTGAATCACAAAGCTACAATAGCTTCCTAATAGGCCTCTGGAGAGATTTCTTGTAAGTAACCTAATAAATGACAGTGGAAGGTAACATGCAGTTTAACAAATAGTGTATATATGTATCTATTAAAAGAGAGAAGAAAGGGACAACAAGTAGATAGGAAGGAAGGAGGGGAGGAATAAAGGAAAGAGAGGAAAAGAAAAGGAAAAAGATATACATGCTTGCTTGAAGTTGAGTAGGTAAGAACTGAACTGATACATAAAATGTGTAACATTTGTTGCCTTCAGGGAGGAGAACTAGATGGCAGAACAAGGACGTTGGAAGATTTCTCTTAGTGTACTCTTTTGTTTCTTTTGAATTTTATTTCATTTATAATTTTCTTAAATCAAAAGAAACTCAATTCTGAACACTTTAATTTAAAATTGTAACATCCGCCATTCTTCTACATAATATACAAATAATGTGGGTTTTCCACATTAATTTACACCAGGCAGTAACTTTTATTCTTGCCAGTGATTCCAGTTTTTAAAACCTATCAATGTACTTTAACTGTAACAGAAAAAATCACTTGATTTCATTTTTCTTTTTTAAATGTACCCATAATAAAAAATAGTTTTAAAGCATGGGATGCTTACTCTCTTGTCTGGGCAGGTGTCAATGACTTTTCAGTTTTCTTTTCTTGTTCCAGGGAAGAGCTACCAAACAGAAATAACAAAATACTTAAAAATATATATGAATTTACATCCTGACAATTCTATCAGTAGACAAGAAAGAAATTATTTTCACTTCCATGTTGTTGTTGTTGTTTTTTATTTACTATAACACTTGTATTAATAATGATGCAATCCAATGATCAATTTTTAAGTCAAAAGCTTTTCTCGCCAAGCACAAATAATTTGTAAGACCCTGAGTAGGGAATGCTCTTACCCTCTGATCTTCAGTGAAGGATGCTGCCTAGCCCCAAGGCATGAAACAACCTAGGTGGCTTCTATTCAACTTCTAGATGTCAAACAACTCAAAGCCAAGGTTTCTGACCATTATTTCAACGGAGCCAAAGATTTGGTAAATCTGAAAAAGACCTATTCTGAAAAATATGCTTTTACTTTTACCTTCACTTGCTAAACTATTAATAATACAGCAATGAGAAGAATCAGGTTTATTATGAACGCTCTTCTACTCAGACTAACTTTAATTAAAGATCTTTCTTCTTGGGTGAATTTTTATTCAAACTGCCACTCTATTTAATTAAGAAGCAGAGCATAAAATTAGATCACCTCTTTAGATCAGGTTATAGCATAAAACAGAATTGCAATCTTGATTAAAGAAAAGCTGATTAGTGAGCTTTCTAAATCCTGGTTCTCAGGATAACAAAACATATTTTTAACCATGGAGGTAAAGAGCATCATTTATCATACCAAGAATGCAGCTTCTTGAAGTAAAGTCTATATAAACAGACATATATGCTATAAATTTTGTCAACAAGCTTTTAGGAAATTGAAGCTGTACTTTAAAAGTGATACTTACATCACTTCATACACAAAGTAAAAAAGAAATGATACTTACGTCATTGGATTGTTATTTGGAAGGTAATAGATGAAGTCCCTCATAGTCATTTTTGCACGATCTGGTGGACTTTGGCTTTCAGTTACAGCATATTTGTTTTTCCATTGTTTCTATGAGCACAAACACACAGAGACTCACTATTATTTTACAAATACAGAATTTCAGATATACCAATTCAGATAGATATACCAAATTAAAACATGTACTGATGAAGATCGTAGAGCACAGCCTTCGGTATGGATTACATCTCAATGTCAAGAAAAGAAAAATCCTCACCACTGGACCAATAAACAACATTCTTATCAACGGAGAAAAGATTGAAGTTGTCAAGGACTTCATTCTTCATGGATCAACTACCAACACTCAACGGAAGCAGCAGTCAAGAGATCAGACGACGTACTGCATTAGGCAAATCTGCTGCACAAGAGCTTTTTAAAGTGTTGAAGAGCAGAGATGTCAGCTTGAGGACTAAGGTGCGCCTGACCCAGGCCATGGTGTTTTCAATAGCCTCATATGGATGCAAAAGCTGGACAGTGAATAAGGAAGACCGTAGAAGAATTGATGCTTTTGAGTTATGATGTTGGAGGAGAATATTGAAAGCATTTTTAGAGACTTAAATTTGAACATAACCAAAAAACTCAAGCCCACTGCCATCAGGTAGACTTATAACAGATCACTTCGACTTTCTCCTGCAAAACAGTTGGTGGATTCAAACAGCCAACCTTCTGGTTAGAAGCCCAACACTTAACCCACTGCACCACCAGAGACCATGAAATTCGAACATAGATGGGGTCCAATTCTCATATCCTTCACTATGTTTGACACAAAGCAAATAACCTCTCTGAGGTTGTTTCCTACTGTATAAAATAAGAAGCTCTGGAAGTGCAGTGAATATGAATCGGGCTGCGAACCGCAAGGTCAGCAGTTTGAAACTACCAGCTGTTTCGCGGGAGAAAGATAAGGCTTTGTGCTCTGATAAAGATTTACAGCCTCAGAAACCCTGTACAGTGTCGCTATGAGTCGGAACCGACTCCACGTCACATCACCACCACCACCACCACAGTTGAGAAAATTAAATTAGATAGCAATATAAAGGTGTCCTGGTGTGGTGCAGTAGCATAAGCACTGGACTGTTAACTGCCAAAATTAATAGTTCAAATCCACCAGTTGATCCTCAGAAGCCCTATACAGGGTCGCTGTGAGTTGGAACTGACTCCTCATCATGTAGCCACCACCACCATAATTCACATAATAAGAGCTGGGATTTGCTGAGCATTGGTCTAAATTTGGAGTCTTGCTGTAGCACTGCAGGACTATCAATCACAAGACTGGTGGTTAAAACCCACCAGCCGCTCCTTGGAAAACCTACACAGGGTCAGAATCAACTCAATGGCACTTAACAACAACAACCAAGTCTAAATTTAAGGAGCCCTGGTGGGACAACAAGTAAGCACTTGACTACTAGTCTTAAGGCTGGGAGTTCAAACCCACCAGCCACTTTGTGGAGAAAGGTATGGCAGCCTATTTCCATAAAGACTTACAACCTCAGAAACTCTCTATGCAGTTCTACTCCAACAGAGTCACTTTGAGTCAGAATCTACTCAACAGCAGGTTTTGTTTTGGTGTTTAGTCTAAATTTAATCTTTTAAGAGTCACCCAAATCCCCTCAGTGAAAACTCCCTTCCAAGACTAAAACTCAACGGGAATACACGCTGTGATCGGTGACCACGCTCGACACAGATAAGGGGAAGTGAGGGAAAAACAGCAATGAAGTGGTGAACTAAGCCCTACAACATTCAATAGACTTCTGTGAACCCAGGTGAAGACCTGGTTGGCCAGCAGTGTGGCAAGACCTCGGGACCCTTGGGCCCAGAGTCAGTGACATAGCCACAGAGTACTAGAGTGGAGAGTGAAGCGTCCAGCTGGTAAGAAGAGAGGGCATATGCATAAGAGCACCCACACTTGCAGATAATGCCCACTTATCCTGGCTTCAGTGACTGGATGATCAGAGCTCAACCAAAAGTAAAAAGAAGAGGAAAAAAAAAAGTATTCTCATACAATTTGATGAACTTGGCCTACACCTATGTATGGAAGCAGTAGCTCAAAAGAGGGAACAAGTCCTTACAACAAAAATCATTCCCACCCCATCCACACACAGAGTAGACAGGGATGGGCAACTTGGACATTGGCTACCCAAAGTGCGGGGCGGGGCGCTACAAAGGCAAGAAGTGACTGGCTTACAAGCTTTCAAGAGGGAACCTAGATCCAGAGGGCCTGGAGTAGGTAGAATCTCCACTGAGTAGTATTCAGTCTGTCTAGGCGGGGCTGATGCAATGAAATGCAGATGGGTCTCTTGTGATACAATAGTGAATAATTGTTATCAGGACTGATTGTGAGGGTCGGAAATGTAAAGGTAGACAGACGTTTTATAGCAAGGAGGGGCGTGATTAACTTTTCAGTCAAGGAGCAGAGGTCCCTAGGACCATCAAGGGAGAAGAGTAGAGAGTGGGACCCTACCCAGAGAAGCAGTGATGCCTGAAATGGAGCCAGAGATGATGACGTGGAACGATGGAGCAGCTGGAGACTTTAGATCCAGAGAGGGAGAGAGACTGTGTGCTGAAGACCTGGGGTGTACGGGGGAAGGATTACAGGGTATACCCTTTGGTTGGCTGATGATGCATGGAGGGGATTATAATAACCATGGCAATGAGATGATATATGATAGAATGAATGTAAAACTAATATTCTCCCATGTAAACTATCACATAATTCACAATAAAACATTTAAGAAAAAAAAAAAAAAAGTTACCCAAAGATATAAATACTATTAGCAGTTTTTATAGATAAGGAAGCAGACAGAGAAGTTAAACTGGCTAAGGTCACATAGCCATTAAGGAATGAGGGTAAGATTAAAACCTTAAGTATTTAACTCCAGAGCCAAAACTGATGCACTATTGATACTTTGCTCTTCCTGTAAAAAAATGAATTGTCACATCGATCTTCAAGATTAAAAAGAACATGATATGCACACTCATATTTCCCCCACTTATAATGCTCCATACTACCAACTTAAAAAATATTACCTATTAATTTTGTAAAACTATACTTATCTTAATTCTAATAAATAATGCACTAGACTGAAAGGCCAGTTTGAACCACAAGGTTGGTGGTTCAAACTGACCAACTGCTCCTTGGAAACCCTATAAAGGGTCGCTATGAGTCAGAACCAACTCAATGGCACTAAAAACAACATTTATGTCACTTAAAAAATAGTTTGTGAATAAGCTCATGGTACTTATAAGTCATTCTGTTAACAATAGTATCATAAGGGCAACCTACATGCCCATCAACATTAGAATGGTTAAACTATGGTACATATACACAATAAAATGCTGCTACTCAGTATGCATAAGGATAACCTGCGAAACACCTCATAACATGGATAAACCTGGAGGACCATTATGCTGAGTGAAATTCGTCAATCACAAAAGGACAAATATTGTATGAGACTACTATCATATAGTCAAGAAAAGGTTTTAACATAAAAAGAAACATTCTTTATATGATTACCAGGTAATAGTTAAAAGTCTGAGATTACATCCTTACCTTCTCTTTTCTTAATTCTTCTTTTAACATTTCCCTCAGTTTCTGGGCTTTATATATTCGGTATCTGTCTGAGCATGGCTGTTTTTCTTTTGTTGGAATAGAAAATAGTTGTGGAACTTCTTGATTAACAGGAGATGAAGGAGGAGGTTGTGAAGGAACACCAACAGTAGGTTTATCCAGACCAGAAGTACTTGATATTCGCTTTCTTCTCTGTGAAACTGTAGGGGAAGATTTACTGGATTCTTCAGCATGGTTTTCACCTCTGGTCTTTTCATCACTGTTGAAATTTAAAAAGACACCATGAATCTCTTTTTACATATTCTAGTTTTAAGACCTGTCTGGTGAAAATTCAAAATGGGAAAGTCAAACTTGTTAAAAAATCCATGTCTCAAGATTTAAATGTATTGTAAGAGAAGTTGCAATAAAAATCTTTTAACAGATACATAAATTATAATGAAAAATGCAAATCTTTTTCAAATTTCAAGTCCGTAAGCACACTCACACACAATTTTATGATTGATTCCCTATAAAACAAAAAAACCGAAGCTATAGAATAAAGCTTAATTAGCTGAATCTGAATTATTAGACAACTGAAGAGTTTTTCTATGTAAAATTTATAATTCATCCTTCTGGTAGTTAAGTGCCCAGTCAGTTCTAACTCATAGCAATCCTATATAGTTTCCAAGGAGTGGCTGGTGAATCACTGACCCTGAAGTTAACAATCCAATGCTTATACTACTGCATCACACCAGGACTCCATAATTCATCCTGACATTTTATGGTGGTAGTTGGTAGCTATATTCTGTGGAGTCAGTTCTGACTCATAGCAACCCTGTATAGGGTTTCTGAGGTTGTAAAACTTTATAGGAGCAGAAAGGCTCATCTTTTCTCCCGCAGAGCAGCTGGTAGATTCAAACTGCTGATCCTGTGGTTAGCAGTCCAATTATCAGAGCTCCTTTGGCATTCCCTAAATCAGTCTAAATTACAAGTATTTTAGTTCAATTATCGACCTAAGTTATTTGCAACTTCAAACACCTGAAATATTTGTATTAGAGTATCTGAAAAACATACATTTAACTATATTAACTAAACCAAATTTTGAGACATCAATCATTTCCCTTTTGTCAGGCATGATTCTACTTATAAAGACATGACAATAAATTCTTTCTTGGAAGTTTTCACATCAAGTATCAATCCTATTCCCTCTGCATACAGGGTTGAAAGGGAAGGGCAACTTAGACATTGGTTAGCTAAAATGGGGGGTGGGCGCCTATAAAGGCACGAAGTGATTGGCTTACAAGTTTTCAAGAGAGAGTTTAGTTTCATAGTGTGGGGGGGGGGGAGAGGGGGGATTGAATCCCCACTGAATAGTGTTCATCTTGTCTAAAAGACATGGGGACAGGATTGTCAAAAGACTGAACAGTTTTCATCTTGTCTAAAAGACATGGGGACAGGATTCTTTTGATTCAATAGTAAGTAATTGTTATCATCACTAATTGCAATTGTCACAACTGTAAAAGGAGAAGTTTTGTAACAAAAAGGGGCGAGTAATCTACAGTCCAGGTACAGAGGACCCTAGGGCCATCAAGGGAGAGGAGCACAAGCAGAATGCAGGACCCCCCTATCCAGAGAAGCAGCGACACCAGAGATGGAGACAGAGATGAGGAAATGGAGAGACAGAGCAGCTTAGGACTCTAGATCCATAGAAAGAGAAAGGGCTGTGTGCTGGTGGCCAGAAGGCAGGCTTGCAGAATGTGCCCTTTGGTTGTTTAAATGATTATATATTCCTGAGTGTTTTTGTGTACATTTCTCCATTCCCCCTCAAAAAGAAAAAAAAAAAATCACCAGAGGGAATAGAAGCAAATACTGTTGAATGATGATACAAGGAGGAGACTGTAATCATTGCAATGAAGCGACAAATAAATTCTTCCCTAGGAGAAAAGTACTTAATTACTACAAGTTACATATTTGACATGGTTCAGATTGGATACTGTATTTCAGAATGAGCTTCAAAGCAAACTAGGTCAATAAAAAAGAAGGTATAAATCAAGAATTAAAAACAGATTTTGAACAAAAAATGTGATCAATGTTTGCCTTTGAACATTTCTTGCTGAATATTATGTAGCCGACTGGCTTAATTGTGACTTGAAATGTATCTGATGAACAAACTTTGTTCACATTTCCTTCTCAAACCTCTTTGTTACAAGCCTATGGCAGAAAATGGGTACATTCCTGCAAGTATTATTGTAACAAAACATTGTAACTCTGGTAAATGTTCTTGTGATTGTTAACATTGTACAAATTCTATCTTTTGTCTTTTTTACAACCATCTTAATTTTTTAAGCCATTTTGTGTTCTAGTTGTAGAATAATAGTTACAACATCTTCAGGAGGATTTTGCAAAGTTGATTGTTAAGTGCCATCAAGTCACTTCCAACTTACAGTGTACCTGTGTAATTTCTGAAAAGCAGCTGGTGGGTTTGAACTGCTGACCTTGTGGTTCCAAGTGTTTTTTGATCCTACAGCACCACACTGCTCATTGTGGTCAGATCATTTTGACAACAAGGGGAATGAGAAAATAGGTGGTAGACGGCTGTTAATCACAATTTGTATGGCCTAAATGTAGCTGGTTTTTAAATTTCAAGAAATATTTGCCATTTCTCTCTCTTACTCACCCTTCTCTTTAAAGGGTAAAATATTAATATTTAGAATGGCAAAGAGTAATTACTGTAATAAATCTAATGATGTAAGTTCTTTAATAAAACAAAAACCATAAAACACCCTAGAAAGCATTGGGAGAAAACATATCTGGTTTTCTTTACTTCATCCTAGCTGTGTTATGTTGGTGGAAATGGTTATTTCATTCTTTAATAGCTGTTTTGTTTTATCCTTTTTTCTGAAGTACCTTTAATTTCTTTAGTATCCACTGTGTGGTGCTCTGCCATTTCTGAAGTACTTGTTGTTGTTGTTGTTAACTACCGTGGAGTCAGTTCCGACTCATAGTGACCCTGTACAGGGTTTCCGAGGCTGTAAATCTTTACGGAAGCAGAAAGCCTCATCTTTCTCCCACGGAACAGCTGGTAGTTTCAAACTGCTGACCTTGCGGTTCGTAGTCCGATTCGAAACCACTACGTTACCAGAGCTCCTTGAAGTACTTGTTAGTTACTAGTATTTATTTGTACTAGGAGTATGATTTACTGTTTAGTATGTATGGTGGCGGCTGGTGGTTATGTGCCCTGGAGTCGGTTCCAACTCATTGCGACCCTGTTACAGGGTTTCCGAGGCTGTAAATCTTTATGGGAGGAGAAAGCCTCATCTTTCTTCCACGGAACAGCTGGTAGTTTCAAACTGCTGACCTTAAGGTTCGCAGCCCGATTCTTAACCACTACGCTATCAGAGTGATCTCCAAAGACTTCCTTTAGAAAATGACCCTTTGCCCCCTTAATTTTAACTTTCCTTACTGTTTTACTAAATATGAAGTATACTTTAACAGTTCTGGTACTCACATGGTTGGGGGGAGTGGGGAGAACAAAAGTAAAATGAATTTGTCATTACTCCAGAAAGTTTGTTTTAAATTTTAATCAAATTTTTAAATTTAAATCAAATGTGCCTTGTTTTTTAAATTGAGATTTGAAACAATGACAGGATTGTCATTTTAATGTTTATCACTGGAAATCTGCTTAATTGTAAACAGCTTACTGCTCATTTGGAAAAATAAACCAGTGAAGAATTTAAAGAAAAGTAAGAATTAAAAGCAGAGACCCGATGATTTGTGTTGCCATAAGATAACCTCAGGTGTCCTGGTGTGGTACTATGGGTTAATGCAACAGACTGCAAAGCCATTTGACCTGCAAGATTGGTGGTTCAAGCTCACCAACTACTCCTAGGAAACCCTATACAGGGTCGATATGGATCAGAACCGACTCGACAGCACTTCATAACAACAAGAAACAAGATAACCTCAAGGTTGGTTTGAACCACATGGTTGGCAGTTCAAACTCACCAGTTGGTCCCTGAAAACCCTATACAGTGTAGCTGTAAGTCGGCACTTAACTTTCTCACTTTAAATTTTTTATCTCAGCCCTTTTAAAATACACATTTCTCACAATGAGGTTGAATGAATATGTTGTTGTTGAGTCGGTTTTAAATGCATCTTCTTCCCTGGTGGCACTTTGGGTTAGGCATTGGACTGCTAACCACAAGGTTCACAGTTCAAAGCCATTCTTAGGAAGAAAGATGAGGATGTCTGCTTCCATAAAGATTTATATTCCTAGAAACACTTGTTTTATTCATTGTCTAGTTTTCACATGTGTATGTTGTTGTTTTTGTTGCTGCTAAATGTCAAGTCAGTTCTGACTCATAACCCTGTAAGGAGCTCTGGTAGCACAGTGGTTAAGAATCAGGCTGTGAACCGCAAGGTCCAGCAGTTCGAAACTACCAGCTGTTCTGCAGGAGGAAGATGAGGCTTTCTGCTCCCGAAAAGATTTACAGCCTCGGAAACCCTGTTCAGGGTCGCTATAGGTCGGAACTGACTTGACGGCACTTAACAACAATAGGGTTTCTGAGGCTACATATCTTTGCAGGAGCAGAAAGCAATTGAAAATACTATGGCTTCGGTTAGGGGCATGTTAACCTTCAAAGTGACATTCTGCTTTTCTTCTTCTTCTTCTTTTTAACACTTTAACGAGGTCTTTTGCAGATTTGCCCAATCATTTGATTTCTTGGCTGCTGCTTCCATCAGCATTGATTGGGAATTCAAACAAAATGAAACCCTTCCAAATCTAGTTATTTTCTCCATTTATCATGATGTCATTTATTGGTCCAGTTGCGAGGCTCTCTTGAACTGAAGGCTGTAATCTTTGATCTCCATAAGTTAGTGCTTTAAATCCTCTTCAATTTTCAATAAGCAAGGTTGTGTCATCTGCACATTGCACATTAATGAGTATTCCTCAAATCCTGATGGCCCATTTTCCTTTACAGAGTTCAACTTCTCAGATTATTTGTTCAGTATACAGATTGAAAAACTATGGTGAAAGCATACAACCCTGACGCATACCTTTCCTGATTTTAAACTACACAGTATCCTTGTGTCATTAGAAAGATTGCCTCTTGGTTTACATACAGGTTCCACATGAGCACATTTAAGTGTTCTATAATTCCCATTCTTCACAATGTTAGGCACAACTTGTTATAATTCACATAGTTGAATGCTTCTGCATAGTCAGTAAAACAAGAGTAAATGTCTTTCTGGTATTCTCTACTTTCAGCCAAGATCCACCTGACATCAGCAAGGATATCTTTCATTCCAGTGAATCCAGTCTGAATTTCTGGCAACATCTTGTTGATGTACTGCTGTGATTGTTTTCAAATTATCCTAGGAAAACTTATACTTGCGTGTCACATTAATGATACCAAACTTACTGCCATCAACCCTACTTTGACTCATAGTAGCCCTATAGGACAGAATACACCTGCTCCCTAGGGTTTCAGAGACTGTACATTTTTACAGAAGCAGACAGCCTTATTCTTCTCCCTTAAGGTAGCTGGTAGGTTCAAACTGCTGACCTTGAGGTTAGCAGTTCACTATGCCACCAGGACTCCTTGATATTAATGATATTATTCAATAATTTCCACATCCTGTTGGATCATATATATATGAAATAGGATTAAGTAAAGATCACTTCCAGTCAGTTGGCCAGGTAAATGTCTTCCAGGGAGGGGGCCTACCAGCCCCAGATGGAACCCAAGCAAGTGCTCAAGTCGAAGTGGAGACTCTGAGCCGCTGCCCGCCCTGTGCACTCTGCCAACACATTCCAGAATGTTGGAGGCAGGTGCCATGGGAGTCCAAGGCCCAGTGGTTACAGAAGCATCTGTTGGGAACGAGCCTTGGGCAAGGCTAACACCCACTCCTCCCTTGCTGCGCATGGTCTCATGAGCTCAACACACCAGGGTTGGCTCAAGTAATGACTTACAACTGTGGAGGTTGTACATAGTCAGACATTCCTACTCCAAATGCTGTCTAATTAACAGAATCTCTGTAAACTTTATTAATTTATTTGTATGAGGAGCCCTGGTTGTGCAGTGGTTCATCACACTATGCTACTAACCAAAAGATGGGTGGGTAGAACCCACCAGCCTCTCTGAAGAAGAAAGATATAGTACTCAGTTTCCATAAAAATTGCAGCCTTGGAAATCCAGTTCTACTTTGTCATAGAGGATCATTACAGCAATGGGTTTAGTATTTGAATTCTACTTCAATAATAAAAATTTTAAAAATTGAAACAAATTTATGTAAAAAAAAAAAAAAAGGTAATTATTTAAGCACCACTAAGCTATAGTTCTGGTGTGGAGCTATGGGTTAATGTGCCAGACTGCAAAGCCGTTTGTACTGCAAATTCAGCAGTTCAAGCTCACCAGCTGCTCCCCGAAAACCCTACAGAGGGTCACTATGGTTCGGAACAGACTTGACAGCACTAAACAAAGCCGTAGTCCTGGTGTAGTATCGTGTATTAATGCGCTGGACTGCAAAGTCAGTTTGAACTGCAGTTCAGTGATTCAAGCTCACCAGCCGCTCCTTGGAAACCCTACACAGGGTCTCCATAGGTCGGAACCAACTCAACGGCACTTAACAACAACAACAAGCTATCAATGAAATAAGCACTCTAGATTCAGCGCCAGTTCAAGTCAACAACAACAAAAAAAAACTGAGCCAAAAAGAAAGGAAAAAAAAATACTCACCTTCCTGTCATAGCATAAGCAGAATTTGTACCTGTCACTGACCTGGTGTGGCGCAGTGGGATAAAGCACAGGACCTCAAGGTCGCTTTGAAGCACAAGGCTGGTGGTTCAAACTCACGAACCACTACTTGGAAACCCTATCACTTAATAGGATTGGTTGTTCACTGGTTTGCTCAAATGTATAATACAGAAACAAAGTCCAAGTTAGCCTAATGTATCTTTAATTACTTTGCTCCATTATCTGAGTGGCGCTGTGGATTAATGCGCAGGACTAAAGGGTCGGTTTGAATCGCAAGGTCCGCGGATCAAGGTCACCAGCTATTATGTGTCAAGCCGACTCCATGGTACTTAATAACAACAAATCATCTTAAGAAAGACAAAAGGAAAAACTTCTTTGAATTGCTACTCTGCCATGTTCTCTGCAAGGCTGCAGTAACCCTCCAAAGTGGGTATATCTGGCGCTGTAGAATCAGGACTGGACTGCGAACCACAAGGTCGGCAGTTCAAACCCACCAGCGGCTCAACAGAAACTCTATACAGTCGCTATGAGTCATAACCGACTCGATCGCACTTAACAAAAACAGAGGAATAAATCCTGCATAGGAAAAGTCTATTCCACTGCTAAAACAGCTGAAGAGTCCTAAATACATATGTGTGGTGGTGGTGGTGGTAAGTGTCGTCGAGTCGATTCCAACCCATAGCGACCCTGCACAGTTTCCAAGGAGCAGCTAGTGAGCTTGAACCGCCAACCTTGCAGTTCAAACGGCTATGTAGTCTGATGCATTAACCCACAGCGCCGCACCAGGACTCCACACATGTGGTACAAAACACCAAATTTATGCTGTTCTGTTCAGAAAACATGGCCACCATACTTAAAGAGGCACATTCAAATAGCTGAAACCAAAGCAAGTAACCAGGCCTACTTTCTTCTGACATAAACCAGCAGAAGCAAAGACGCACTGGCTTTCTCCCTTTCAAAATAAATGAGTATTTTAAAAGTTAAAAAAATAAAACTACTTTCCTCCCAAAGTACTCAAGAATCACGAAAGCTATTGTAACCTGAATCTCCAATGAACAGTAGCACCACGTGTGGTGGTGGTTATGTGCCGTGGAGTTGGTTCCGACCCATAGCGACCCTGTACAGGATTTCCGAGGCTGTGAATCTTTACAGGAGCAGAACGCCTCATCTTTCTCCCGCGGAACAGCTGATAGTTTCGAATTGCTGACCTTGCAGTTCGCAGCCCAATTCGTAACCACTACGCTACCAGAGCTCCACGTGTAGATATCCTTAACTCTAAGGCTGCTATTCCTGGATTCCCCATCATCGCTAGAATCTAAAGGTCCTAACAAAATCCATATTGGACACATCCTCTGGACAGGAGCGAACTGCAGGTTCGCGTGGCTTCGTCGTGCCTAAAATGAATGGATTATTGCAAGCAAGGGCGTACTCCCATGGTAAAGTTAATCTGCTCAGCTTCCATGTGACAGTGCCGGAGGGGCGGGGCAGATCAAATTGCTCACCTATGCAAGCTCTTACCTGCTCCTGGGAGCCTTTTTTTGGGGTTCCGCTCCCCCAAAATCCACCACTGGCGCATCTGTGGGCTCCGCTGGCTTCGGAACAGAGACAGCTGCAGGTTCCGGCGGCTTGGGAGTCTCCTTTCCACGCTGTGGGGTGGAAGTGGTGGACCCCCTGGCGCCTATACCAGGCCTGACGTTCGGCTTCACGCTAAGGCGTGCCCTGCGGAACATGGCGGAGCCAGGGGGCCCGGGGAAGCGGCCCCACGGCCGCTCTGAACCCCGAGCCCCGGCCGCTGCCCGTAATAGGGGTTAAGAACGACGCCTTTCTCACAAAGGTACACCACCAACCTAGCAGATAGCTACCGTAGCTTCACACCCCCACCGCCTCCTCCTTCCTCCTGCCACCGCCTCTTCTTCATGACCCTGCTACAGTAATAGCCAAGTTTCCCTCTCTACCCAGCTCCGTGACCTCAGAGGGCGCCGGAACTGACAGCATCATCAGTCAGCGCCGCAACCCTAGCGGGATGACGTCAGACGCACAGCGCCCCTAGGTAGCTGCAAAGGAATGCATGGAATAAGTAATTTACAAACCGGAAACTGAGACTGAAACTAGGCTTCATTTTTGTGACACGCTGTTAGCTCCACATATTGACTCATGGCGACCCTTGTTGTTAAGTGCTGTCGAGTCGGTTTCGACCCATAGCTAACCTATATAGGATTTCCTAGGAGCAGCTGGTGAGCTTGAACCACAGACCTTGCCATTCAAACCAACTTTGCAGTCCAGCTCATTAACCCACAGCGCCACACCAGGACTCCCATGGTGACCCTGTAGTTGTTAGATGCCATCGAGTCGGTACCCACTCATAGCGACCCTATGTACAACAGAACGAAACACTGCCCGGTCCTGGGTCAATCTCACAATTGTTGCCACGATTCAACCCATTGATCCTGCCACTTGGCCAATCCATCTCGTTAGGGGTCTCCCTCATTTTCTCTGACCCTCCACCTTACCAAACATGAGATCCTCTTCCAGAGACTGGTCCCTTCTGACTATATGTGCGAAATATGAGAGACAAAGTTTGGTCATCGTGGCCTCCAAAGAGCACTTTGGCAGCACTTCTTCCAACACAGATCTGTTAGGTTGTTTTGGCAGCCCTGTGGTAGCGTTGATGTTTCGAATCCGGCTGCTAACCTCAAAGTCAGCAGTTCGAAACTACCAGCCGTTCTGCGGGAGAAAGATGAGTCTCTCTGCTTCGGAAAAGGTTTGTTGTTGTTGTTGTTGTTGTCAAGTGCCATCGAGTCGGAACCGACTCATAGTGACCCCATGCACAGCAGAACGAAACAATGTCCAATCCTGGGCCAACCTCAATACCGCTGCCACACTTGATGCCATCAATGATGCCACCTGGCTGATCCATTTCGTTGGGGGTCTTCCTCATTTTCTCTGACCCTCCATCTTACCCAGCATGATATCCTCCTCCAGCGATTGTTCCCTCCTGAAAATATGTCCAAAGTATGAGAGACGAAGTTTAGCTATCCTGGCCTCCAAGGAGCACTCTGGCTGCACTTCTTCCAAAAAAGATCTATTGGTTCTTTTGGCTGTCCATGGCACTTTTAATATTCTCCTCCAACACCACAACTCAAAATACCATGGCTTGGGTCAGGCGCACCTTAGTCCTCAAGCTGACATCTCTGCTCTTCAACACTTTGAAAAGTTCCTGTGCAGCAGATTTGCCCAAAGCAATACGTCTGATCTCTTGACTACTGCTTCCATGAGTGTTGATAGTTGATCCAAAAAGAATGAAGTCCTTGACAACTTCAATCTTTTCTCCGTTGATAAGAATGTTGTTTATTGGTCCAGTGGTGAGGATTTTTGTTTTCCTGACATTGAGATGCAACCCATACCGAAGGCTGTGCTCTTTGATCTTCATCAGTAAATGTTTCAAGTCCTCTTCACTTTCAGCAAGCAAGGTTGTATCATCTGCATATCGCAGGTTGTTAGGTTGTTAGGTGGTAAAGGTTTACAGCCTCAAAATCCTGTGCAGGGTCACTATGAATCCAAACCAACTCCATGGTACTTAACAACTACAATAACAATACATAAGTAAAGGAGCTCTGGTAGCGTAGTGGTTACGAATCGGGCTGCTAACCTCAAAGACAGCAGTTCAAACTACCAGCCGTTCTGCGGGAGAAAGATGAAGCTTTCTGCTCTGGTAAAGGTTTACAGCCTCAGAAACCCACCGACTCCACAGCACATAACAACAACAACATACACAAGTAAGGAGTCCTGGTGTGGTGCTGTTGGTTAATGCACTGGACTGCAAAGTCAGTTTGAACTGCAAAGTCGGTGGTTTAAGCTCACCAGCCGCCCCTTGGAAACCCTATACAGGGTCGCTCTGGGTCGGGACTGACTTAACGGCACTTAACAACAACAACAATACACAAGTAAATGAACAAATGCCTGGTCCTAGACCCTGTCGACGATTAGATGAGAATCAGAATTTCTGTGATCCACAGGATTTTCATTGGCTGATTTTCAAAGTAGGTCTTCAGTCATTTCTTCCTAGCCAGTCTCATCTAGAAACCCTGCTAAAACCAGTTCAGCATCATAGTAACAGGCAAGCCTCCAATGACAGACAAGTAATTGATTCATACGAGAGACATGGGGTTGGAATGAAGCCTAGTCTTGGCATGTTGTTGGTGTTGTTAGGGGTGATCCAGTCAGTTATGACTCATAGCCATGAAACATAGCTCAGACCTGTGCCATTCTCACAATTGTTTCTTGGAACTCATTGTTCAGCCACTGTGCCAATCCGTCTCACAGAGTTTTCCGCTTTTTCTCTGGCCACCTACCAATCATGGTGTCCAACACCATGGACTCATCTCTCCTAATAACATTTCCAAAGTACATGAGATGAAGTCTTATCCTCCATTCTACAGAGAATTCTGGCTGTACTTCATTGCAATGCATATTTGTTCTTCCGGAAGCCCATGGTATATTGAAACACCCAAAGGCATTAATTCTTCGGTCTTTCGTATTTATTGTCTAGCTTTCACATGCATATGGATGTTGTCAGGTGCCAATGAGTCATGACTCATAGCGACCCTATGTACAACAAAATGAAACACTGCCCAGTCCTGCTCCTTCATCAGTATTGTTAAGTGTGAGCCCATTATTAGAGCTACTGTGTCAATGCAATATGGGTCTTCTTCTTGGTGCTGTGGGTTAATGCAATGTTGGTTTGAACTTCAAGGTTGGCGATTCAAGCTCACCAGCCACTCCTCAGAAACCCTGTACAGGGTTGCTATGAGTCAGAACAGACTTGATGGCACTTAACAACAACTACTACTACCAAAAGTAGCCCTGGTTGCATAGTGGGTTATGAGATGGGCTGCTACCTACAAGGTCAGTAGTTTAAATCTACCAGCTGTTCCATAAGAGAAAGATGAGGCTTTCCACTCCCATTAAGATTTATTGCCTTAAAAACCCTGTATAGGCTCGCTCTGAGTCAGAACCGACTTGGTGGTACACAACCACCACCACCACCTACAACCAAGCATGACATCCTTTTCCAAGAACTGGTTGGTCCCTCCTGATAAAACATTCAAGGTACACGAGGCAACGTCTCACCATCCTTATACAGAGAGTGTTCTGGCTGTACTTCTTCCAAGACAGATTTATTCATTCTTCTGACAGCCCATAGTACTTTTCAATAATCATTGCCAACACCATAGTTTAAATGTATCCATTCTTTTCTGACCTTCTTATTCATTATCCAGCTTTCACTCACATATAAGGGAAGTGAAAATACCATGACTTGACTCAAGTGTACCTTAGACCTCAAAGTAACATCTTTGCTCTTCAACAAAGTAAAGAGGCCTTTTACAGGCTATTTGCCCAATACAATGTATCATTTGATTTCTTTGACTACTCTTCCATGAGTGATGATTATAGATCCAAGTAATATGAAATCCTTGAGAACATCAATCTTTTCTCCATGTATAATGATGTTGCTTATTGGTCCATTTGTAAGGATTTTTGTCTTATTTCGTTGAAGTAAAATCCATACTGAAGACTATATTCTTTGATCTTCATCAATAAATGCTTCATGTTTTCTTCACTTTCAACAATCAAAGTTGTGTCAGCTGCATAGCTCAAGTTTTAATAAGTCTTCCTCCAATCCTGATTCCACATATTTCTTCATATAGTCCAGCTTTTCAACTTATTCAGCATACAAATGAAATAAGTATGGTGAAAGGATACAACCCTAATACAGTCCTCTCCTGATTTTCAATCATGTAGTATCTCCTTGCTTAGTTTGAATGACTGCTTCTTGTCTATGTACAGGTTCCAGATGAGCACATTTAAGTGTTCTGGAATTCCCATTCTTTACAATATTATCCATAATTTGTTATGATTCACATAACAAAACACAGGTAACCACCTATCTGGTATTCTTTGCTTTCAGCATCTGATGTCAGCAATAATATTTGTGGTTCCATGAATATCCTTTTCTGAAACCAGCTTTAATTTTGGAAGTTCCATGTCCATGTACTGCTGCAACCATTTTTAAATTATCTTCAAGGTTTGACTTGCATGTGATATTAATGATATTGTTTGATAATCACCACATTTTATTGGATGACTTTTCTTTGTAATGGACACAATAAAAATGCCTTCCAGTCAGTTGGTCAGGTAGCATCTGCCTTCCAAATTTTTTAGCACAGACTAGTGAGCATTTCCAGGGTTGCATCCAACTGTTGAAATATCTAACTTTGTATTTCATCAGTGCCTGCAGGTTTGTTTTTCATCAATGCTTTCAGTGTAACTTGGACTTCTTCTGAAAATATCATTGATTTTTTAATCATATGCCATCATATGGTTGAGTGGGGAGCAGTTCTTTTTGGTGCAGTGGCTATGATTTTCTTCCATCTTTTGTTGATGTGTTATTGAATGTTTGGCCCATGGAATCCTTCCATATTGCAATACAAGGCTTGATTTTTGAAGTACATCAGAGAGTGCTATTGGAAGCCAGGATGACCATACTTCATCTCTCAGACTTTGGACGTATTACCAGGACCAGTCCCTGGAGAAGGACATCATGCTTGGTAAAGTGGAGGGTTAGCAAAAAAGAGGAAGACCCTCCCCCCAAAAAATTGGATTGGCACATGGCAGCAACGATGGGCTTAAGAGTACCAATGATTGTGAGGTTAGTGTAGGACTGGGAAGT